TTGTACTCGAGGGTTTCCGCTTTAATATAATTTCTTCTTGTTTCAAAAAAAAAAAAAATATTGGTGAAGTGAATATTCACCGTACACATTAAAATCTCTACATGTGCTTATGTGGCATGCAATGTGTGAGATCCCATATCATTCAGGGGAGTGGATCCTATATGCCTTACATGTACATACCCACCTCCAATTAGCATGAGGCTTTTTGGGAGCTCACTTGCTTCGGGTTCCATCGGAACTTCGAAGTTAAGCGAGTTTGGCTTAGAGCAATCCCATGATAAGTGACCAATTGGAAAGTTGCTCGTGAGTTCCCAAATACAAAACCATGAGGGCATGGTCGGGGCCCAAAGCGGACAATATCGTGCTACAACGGAGTGTAGCCCGGGATGTGGTGGAGCCCGGGTCGGGATGTAACAATTTGGTATCAGAGCCAATTCTTGGTCAGAAGTGTGCCAATGAGAACGTCAGGCCCCTAAGGGGGGTGGATTGTGAGATCCCACATCGCCCAGAGGAGTGGATCCTCTATGCCTTATATGTACATACCCACCTTCAATTAGCACGAAGCTTTTTGGGAGCTCACTGGCTTCGGATTCCATCGGAACTCCGAAGTTAAGCGAGTTTGGGCTAGAGCAATCCTATGATGGGTGACCCACTGGAAAGTTGCTCGTGAGTTCTTAGAAACAAAATCGTGAGGGCGTGGATGAGGCCCAAAGCGAATAATATCGTGCTAGGGTGGAGTGTAGCTCAGGATGTGGTGGAGTCCGGGTCGGGGTGTGACACAACGTGTGTTTGACAAATCGTACACGTGACACGTAACTCACCAAAAATAGACAACATCAAGAGTGACACATGTTGGCATTTGGCGGAAATTAATTAAATTTAAATTTTCATTAAATTAATTAATTGATTTAAATTTTAAATGTGATTGATTATTTGGGTCTTTATCACAAATGATCCCTGAGATTAATCAAACTTATCATTTTGGTCCCTTACTTTCAAAATCAATCAATGTTGTCCCTGACATTCACTATTGCACATCAATTTGGTCATTCCGTTAAGATTCCGTTAACTATTCTGTTAGTTTGTATGTGGGACCCACACATCCAATGAAATGGATACATGTGGATTACACAAATAAGGATTTTTATCACAAATAGTCACTGACATTGATCCAACTCCTTACTTTTGTCCCTGAGTTTCAAAAATCAATAAATTTGGTCCCTTACTTTCAATACCACAAGCCAATTTAATCCTTCCGTTAAAGTTTTGTCAATATTTTTTGTCTCACTAATCCAATCATATGGTGCCACATGGATTAACTATAAGAAACTATTTTTTTTAAGATTAAAAACTAAAAGTAAAAAAAGAAACTAAAAACCAAAACTAAAGAAAAAAAAAGTCATCGTTGTCTTCATCATGGTATCTCAAAAAGAAAATGAAGGCAACATGACATTACTAAAGTACTTGGTCTCCTGAACTCACCCTTTATTTTCTGTAGTGGGTTATAATCCTATGAAATTTAGATTGAGGTTTTTTTTTTTTTTTTTTTTTTCAATTGGGACGCAAAAAATGTCAGCGCATTCGTTGGTTCACTCTTAAAAAAAAAGCACACAAACGAAAAATATTGATGAATTAAAAGAATGACTAAATTGATGTGTGGTAGTGAAACTCAGGACCAAATTTATTGATTTTTGAAATTCAAGGACCAAAATAAGAAGTTTGATCAATGTCAGGAACCATTTGCGATAAAAACTCTTATTTTGTGTAATCCACATTTCACCATTTCATTGGATTTGTGGGCCCACATACAAACTAAAAGAATAGTTGACGAAATCTTAACGAAACAACCAAATTGATGTGCAGTAGTGAATGTCAGGAACGACATTGATTGATTTTGAAAGTGAGGGACCAAAATGATGAGTTTAATCAATCTCAGGGACCATTTGTGATAAAAACCCTTATTTGATTATTGATGAAGTCAAATCACGAACCAAGTCCAAAATTAAGTCTTGGTTCTTTTATCAATTAATCAAGTCCACAATCAAGGCAAATCCAGTCGTCGACAAGACTTGGAGAACCTATAAATACGAGGCTCCAAGACAAAGAAAGGGGCTTAGAAATTCATCCATACAACTAGCCGCTCAAACTCTCAAGCCCTGAAAACTCTCAAACACTTAGAAGATTCAGAAAACTCTCTGCATTCTTTGTCACACTTGTGAAGAACCACCAAGCAACCCTAAATGTGCCGGGTCCCCCATCACCACAAGCCAAAACCTTGAGGCGTTTTTTCGTTCTAGATTAAGTCACCACAACCCTCGGATCAACAACACACTTACTTTTTACAGTGGATGTCGAATAGAGAAATTCAAATTTGTAACAGAAATTGTAACCCTACATTTACATTAATACAATTATTATTCTATAGACTTTTATCGCAAGAATTTCTCGTTTACAATGACGTTTGTGTTTCTTTGCCAAGTAAAAACGATCCCAGGGCGAAGATGGCACAAGAAAATTGAAGGAGAAGCGAAAACCAAGAAGTCAAATTTTTTTTTTTCCCTTTCTTACTAGTAAATAACGTTAGCCGTTGTATACATCCAATTTTAGTAACCATCATTTTCAGACAAATTATAAGTTTTATGTGTTGCACAAGTCTTGAATATATTTTAAATGAGGGAGGTAGCGCCTTGGTCATTCAACTACCATGCACATTCAAATTGTAGAAAATGGTAATACATATGATAAAGACTTTAAGAAACAGATAATATGATAGAGGTAGATGATCTTTCTCTTTCATTCTCAAAAATATATATATCTCAGTTATTTAACTATAATAATGCTTCACCTTGTTGCAAGTCCAAACAAAAAAAAAAGGCCAATAACTGCACTTGGTGAAATACTGGACGGTGGGCTTCACAACTATATTTGTTTTTTCAACTAAATAACATGCATGGTTTTTAAAATTTGCATATGCGGCTGCCTTATTCAGCTGCTATATTTGATTCTTAGCTGAGCTCCGTAGCATTTGGCATTTGATGCCAAGAGATACATGTGCTCAATTTCATTTGATTGAATAGTTGATCAAGTTTTATATTGTTTGAAGAACTTTAATTGGTAAATTTTTTTTGTCACTCTAAAATCTTCGTTATTCAAACTCAAAACATAATATTTATGACCATTTAGTATTATGGTCTAGTGGTATTCATCTTCATTGGTAAGTGAGATATCTTAGGTTTAATTCTCGTCAAAGGCGAATTTGAACCATATTATTGTTAGCCCATTATAAGGCTTAGCTCACTTTCCTACCCTTTTAGTGTAGATAATATCATTTATTAAAAGAAAAAAAAATACAATATCTATGGATTTGACTACAATACTTATATTTATTTAATATAATTATCATTTCAACAGTCGGTCTTCTAGTTTGTTTATTGATTTAAAATATATCTAATCGTCAAATAATGATTGTACTAAATATATGGCAATATCAGGAAATAAGACTTGCCCTACAAAAACGTGCCCAACGGAACAATTTTCGTCGGTTAAAAACCTTTACCCGACGAACTTGTCATTTAGTAGGGAAAATTGGAAGGTTTACAGAAAGACTTTACAAATATTTGCAGAGCAAGTTTTTGTTTTTGTTTTTGTGTTTTTGTGTTTTTTTTTTTTTTTTTTTTTTTTTTTTTTTTGTTTGTTTTGTCGGGCAAGATTTTGGCGTCAAGAGAGAAAAAAAAAGCTCGCAATACCTTGAGGTTTGCAGTAGTTCGTCGGCTAGGTTCCTTTGCTCGACGATCATATTTGTTGGCTTACTATATATTGCGGGTTGTAGGGCAAGGGACCACAATGATGTGTTAAAATCCAACAGTGAAGCCCTTGCTCGACGGTGTCATAATGATTACCTGACAGAATGGTTCGTCGGGCAAACTCTTACTCATAAATTAGGTATGTGGACAATTAGGGATTCCCAGCTTATGGTATGTTATGGGAATGGAGCACCAAGGGTTATATGATATGTCCAACATGCGGTGAGGACACTTCGTCCTTTTGACATGCTAGAAATGTATGGTACTTGGGTCATCGAAGATGGCTCTCCTGAGATCACAAGTGACGTGACAAGTCTGAAACATTTGTTGGGACAACAGGGTATCAACGTCCTAGATTCAAACTCTTTCTCTTACTTTTAATGTAGATTAGTATCGACTATTGCTTGTATTTTAAAATATAAAAAAACCAATATGATTACGGAAAAGATTCAGGGTGATTGATTCTATTCTGACACGTATGTATACATCGAATTTTAATAAATATCATTTTCAGACAGGTTATAAGTTTCATGCGTTGCATAAGTCTTGAACGTATTTTATGATATCCCTGGAAAGGAGGGAGTAGCGCCTTGGCCATTCAACGACCACATTCAATGGTAGAAATTGTAATATACCCGTAGGATTTAGCATTTGATGACAAGAGATATATATATGCTCAATTTTATTTTGATTGAATAGTTGACCCAACTCTTTATGTTATTATTTGAAGGAAACTTCCACATCAATTGGTTTTTTTTTTTTCACAAAAAAATCTTCGTTATTCAAACTCAAAACACTATATTTATAGATTTGAATACAATACTTACAGATATTTAACAAATCATTTAAATCCAAGATTGTTTATTCATCTAAATGTAACACATAATATCTTTTTTTTTTTTTTTTTATTGTATGATTGTTCTGAAAATGAAAAAGATGCTAGGGGTTTTTCTTATTCTCTTCTCCACTGCATATATGATTCACAGGTTGGTTTTCTTCAAGAGGATTGGTTTGACTCGTCTTCTAGTGCTTAATTAGGTGATATTTTGATGAAGTTATTTATTTGATCAATCAGTCTGGATTCTCCACTATAGGCTTCAAGAAAATAATTGTTTCAAATACAACTGCATCAAATAAGGACAGAAACTGATTCAAAAGGCTTGAAATATTACAAGAACCCATAAATTAAGAACACCATCAAAGTGCTTGAACACGAGGACGGTTCAACAACACTCTTCTTCCAACATCCTTCAAAAACTTGATTTTGATTTTTTTGAGCGTGGCTACAACTTCTTGCATGTTTATTCTCTCGTCCAGTGGCTCCGCACAGCAAGCAAGAGCTAATCGCATAATCGACGATAAACAATCTATCTTAGTCACATAATCATGATCTTCCTCTTTTGCTACCAGTAGAGTGGCATCCACAACTTCAGCTATTGTTTCTGATAATAGTGAATTTGCAACCCATTGTTTTAGATTCATTTCCTCAACAAACATCTCATTTGTAGGCTTCATTTTTGTGAATGTTTCCATGACTACAATACCAAAACTGTATATATCCCCTTGCGTCGAAACAATTCCAGCCATTCCATACTCTGCAATATTAATATGCCAAAGAAAGTTAGAAGTCCAGTTATTCATGATTAAGGACAACACGTATAAGGTTGAAAGATATTAAACTAGAAATTAGATCACCTGGGGCCATATACCCAACTGTGGCTAGGGTCATTGTTCGGGTCATGGAATCCCCTAAACCCAAGAGTTTTGCAATGCCAAAATCCGCAACATGTGCAACCATATCATCATCTAGTAGTATATTGCTTGGCTTCAAATCACAATGGACAATTGGTACTGAATAACCATGGTGTAGGTATTCCAATGCCAATGCAACATCTACCATTATATTCAATCTCTTTAGGATATCAAAAGAAGAGTTTTGAGAATACAACCACTTCTCAAGGCTCCCATTAGGCATGTAGTTCAGTACCAAGCCTTTGAAATCCAACTGGCTGCAACAGCTGATGATTTTGATAAGATTTCGGTGCCGAATATTGCTTAGCATTTCACATTCCCTCTCAAAACTCTTGAAAGCCCCTTCTAGCTGCAAATCAAAAATCTTTACTGCAACATCTATCCCATCTGACAATGTTCCCTTATATACTGAGCCAAAACCCCCCCTTCCAAGTAAGTTGCTATTGTTAAATCCATTTGTCGCCCTTAGAAGTTCAAGGTGTGAAACTCTTCTCCAAAGAGATAGAGGTAACAAGGTAGCCTCTGTGGCAACTTCAACTTTCCTTTTCCTATGCAGTATAAATATAGCTACAAAGGCTAGGAATACCGTTGCTATTATTATTGCTGGAATAATATATTTCAAGTTGGACGAACTAGCTTTCCTTGAACTTGGTTGAAGTGTATTATTTTTGCATGGTGGGACATGGAGTCGAGCTGCGCCACACAACGCCTTATTCGAGACAAATGATAGAGCAGAGAAGTTTGTGAAAGGTCCGCCTTCTGGAATTTCCCCTTGGAGTTTGTTGAAAGACAAATTCAGGTACTTCAGATTCAAGAGTGCTTCTAGAGACTTTGGAATTGCTTCAGTCAAATTGTTCTTGGATAAATTTAAGTGTACCAAGCCTTTTAAGCTGCCGAATGAACTAGGAATAGGGCCTTCTAAATAATTCTTTGCCAAGGACATAGTAACCAAATCTAGAAGATCCCCAATGCTGCTTGGTATAATACCAAATAAATGGTTGCTTGATAAATCCAAGTACGACAGAACTTTCAACTTGCCAATATCTTGTGACAGAGATCCGTTTAGAATATTGGATGACAAGTCAAAGTACCAGACTTGTTCAAGCCTCCACAAAGTAGATGGTATTGTAGAAGTTAACAAATTGGACTTTAATGATAGCTTTCTAAGATTTGCAGCTAGATTACCAAAGCATGAAGGTATAAAACCAGAAAGTTGATTAGAACCTAAAACTAAATCAGCTAGTCTGGTTAGTTGACAAAGTTCATTGGGGATATGTCCTTGCAACTTGTTACCTAACAAATACAAACCTTGGAGACTCCCTAGTCTTCCAATAGAAATTGGAATTAACCCACTCAATTGATTGAGTTCCAGGTTTAAATATATCAAGCTGCTCAAGTTGCCAATTTCATTGGGAATGCTACCCTTCAATTTTCCTTCACTTAAAGATAGTTTTTGAAGCGATGTAGAGAGATTCCGAAAGGAAATAGGTAGAGGAGTGTTTAATGGATTACGTCCCAGGATGAATACCCTAAGATATCTAAGATTAGTGAAACAAGAAAGGATGTTCAATTCTGGAGTTGAAGTGTCAACCGTCAAATTATTCTGGTATAAGCCAAGATACTCAAGGTTTGTTAAGGCACATAGCTTGTTAGGAATAAACCCAGAAAAAGAGTTGTCAGTCATGTCTACGTAAGTAAGCTTTGAAGCATTGGAGATAGAGTTGGGAATTACTCCGCTGAGTTTATTCATTCCTACTACTATCCATTTTAGGTTTGGAATTCCAAGGCCTATGTCTGCTGGGAGGCTGCCTGAGAGTTGATTACCAACAAGTGAAATTTCTATCAGCTTAGACATATTGAAGATTGTGGACGGAATGGGGCCATTGAGATTGTTCATATTGAGTAACAAATACTGTAGATTTTGAAGATCGCCAACTTCAGACGGTATAGTACCTGTCATAATTAGTATTAGAACACAAGTTCAATTTTTTAGCATTCTAAAATATCATACTCCCAAATGGTTCACATCTTGTTCTAAACTATTTCAGAATGTGAAATATTTACTACACATAAAGATTGATGTAAGATAACTAAAAAGTCTTTTAAGACCATTTGTTGAAAAATGGTCACATTTATGTCAAAGATGGGAACTTTCTATTTTCAATCTAACTTAGGAAACCCTTTGATATGTATTTCAGAAGGGTAATGCTAGAGAGGCTAAATTTTGGAAACTAAATGACATGGAAGTTGATGATTGGTTTATTACTTAAACGTTGATAAACGTGCATATTCCTATTGGTGCCACATTATTTAGTTTACAAATTTAATCTCCAAATTTAGTCTCCCTAGCATTACCCATTTAAAATTTATGAAATTCTATGTGGCTTGTTTGATAACTATTTTGTTTTTAGTTTTTGTGTTTAAGATATGAGAAAATATACGAGGCACAGAGGGATGGGATAAGGGTGATGAGAGAGAGGAAGAAATAAAGAAGAATGAATTGAAATAAAATCGTGATAAGTATAGAAAATCACTTAAGTTGGTTTTTTTTATTTTTTATTTTTTTATGCTTTTTTGTTTTTTTGTTTTATATTTCATATACACTCCCACCAACCTTCACACTCACGTATTCCTAATTTCTCCTATACATTCTCCCCAACTCTATAATACAAAAATAAAAATTACACAGTTACCAAACCGTCCCTTAAAATTTTTAAACTATTCATGATTAATACCCTAATTTATTTATTCATTGAACAGGATAGAAGAAGCACCATGAGAGGGACGGGGGAAGGATGTGTCTAGATGATTGGAACCAGAGAATATTAGATAAATAGACTTGGCAATTAAGTACCTGTCAAGGTGGTGTTGGAAATATCAAGCTCTGTTAACTTGGTCAAGTTCCCAATAGTTCTTGGTATGCTTCCATTGAAATTGTTGAAGGCCAATACCAAATTAAGAAGCTCCGCGCACTGCCATAACTTGTGTGGAAGTGGACCATCAAATTGGTTGTTCACCAAATTCAACAGCTGAATACCTGGAAGATGCTGGCATATATTGTCTGGCAAACTACCACTTAAGTTGTTTTGGGCTAGAGCCAAAATTGTCAAAGAGGACATGTTGAAGACAACAATAGGAATATGACCTTTTAGGGCATTACCCTGCACAAACAACCTTTCCACCTGATCTTTACTGCCAATCAAGTTTGGGATTTCTGAAAAATCAACACATATGTGGAAAAATTCAGTAGGCAATATTAGACAAGCTTATATTGCTATAACAAACTTTACGGAGTTATAACCACAAATAATCAACTATAACAGATACATTATAACAATGAAATGGCTGGAACAAAAAGTAAAAATATTCGAAATAAACTGACTTGGCACCAGATAGGGGATTGCATAGTCGCAATGTCTTACAAAACTTTGCCCCTTCTCGTTGTTTGAAGTTCAATGGACGTGTATCTCCTAGGATGCAACTCACCTATAAATTAAGGATCCAGCATTGACCTCTGGCAAACTTTTGTATGCTTCTCTCGCAAATGGAACTATTTGTATGTGAAATTATTTAAAGAGATTTTTACAGCAGCTTGTATGTGTTGTAATTTATATTTCACATTGTATGATTGTCCAAGTCTTTGGTAGATTTGGTCCCGTGACTCTTTCCTATTTAGCACTTGTATTCCTTGCAGAGTAAGTTTCTCTCACCTTATGGTTTACAATAAATAAGGGCACTGATATTATGGAAATTACATTCTACAATTTCTTTAAGCATTATTCTCTCCACTCTCTCTTGGTTGCGCGTCTCTCTCCCTTTGGTAAAGTGGGAAAATTACATTATCAAGCACGCTCTTGATGTTGCGCTAAGGAATCTGAATGGTATTTTTTGCCACAAACCAATTCACACCTCATCAAACAATCCAAGTTCTTCTAAAACATAGTCTCAATTGTTGATAATTTTACAACCTTAATTGCATGAAATATTCACCATAATGTATGAATCCAACTTTTACATTATCCAAACTACACATTCTACTGTTCTCAAAAAACAAAAAGCAAAAAAAAAAACCTATACATTCTACTTAAATTATGTTCTCATTATATTATAGATCTATTATTTTGTGAATTGATGATTGTGAAAGAAAAAAGAAAAAAAACGAAGAAAACCAAAATGAGGGATTTTCTACCCAAAATAGCATGAGCCACGGTGTAGAGCCGTTGGAGCTGAGTCGCCAACAAGCCAAGGCCTGTAGGCCACACTATTGAGCCAAGCCACCTAAGTCACCGAGCTTATGGGCCGGGTTGACCTAATCCGTTGACCCAACCCGCTCAAAATATTCTTTAGAATCTTTCTGGAATATTCTTTAGAATATTCTTGAAATATAATATTCCATATTTTGACTTTATGAAATTTTCTCGGGAACCCTCTTAGACTAATTTTGACGTCCTAAATCTTTTTTTGACATCCGTTTAGTGAAATTCTGAAGTTTTGACGTAGTTGATTGGCTCAGTGTCTCGGTTGACTATTTGGGTCAACTGTTGACTTTTTACAAAATTTTCCCAGGATCCCACTTAGGGTAATTCGACGCTCCGATTCCATATTCCCGCTCCGTTTTCCCAAATTCAAGCATTTTTAGTAGGGTTTTACTAATTGATCTCTTTATGTGTTTAGGTGCGTTTATTAATGGCAATCTCGTTCTCCCTAGTTTGAACAGCTCTTCGGGGACAAAGTATCTGTAACTGGACCCCTTCTTAAATTGCATGATTTTTACTAAATGCTAGGCTTGCATTCACGAAAAGCATGATTTCGTGATTTTACATTTTATGCATTTTTTATGATTTATCGAATTATGTTTTACGAAACGTTATGAATTATTGGATTTACACATATGAAATATTACGAATTTACGAATGATTTATTATGGTTTATGAATTGACGCTTTGAGCTTTTGAGCTTTTGAGTTCTGATGATTTAGAAAGATTATAATTTATGTTTTCGGTGCTTATTTAATGGATGATCATACAACACATACACACAACCTGAGTATGTATACGTCTATGGCCATATGACACAACTGAGGATATTTATGACATACTTCCAACTTCACTAGCAAAGTTAGTGTCAGACAACTTCACTAGTCACGGCTAGTGTCAGTGTGTTATGTGTATGTTTCTTTTATAGCATAACTCAGAGTCGTATAGCTTCATCTTCAGGTGATGGGACCTACCATATTTCTTCACTGGCGTAACCCAGTGTCGTACAACTTCACCCTCGGGTGATGGATATGATAACCATTCTAAAATTGTGCATAAAATCAAGACTTTGAAGAACAAATGAATGAATCTCTAGAGAGAGAACATATGAAAAAAAAATGATATTTTGTATTGATGAATGTTGAATGAATTACATTTACATAGCTTGGTCGGTTATATAGAGTTCTAGAAACTTAGCACCCAAGCTACAGAGCCAACTACCACAACCAACTCCTAACAATCTATTTAACAGATTGTGCTGACATGGCACTCCAAATACTAATAGCCTAACATCCTTATGCTGATATGGCTCACCTACTAGCAGATTACATTCAACATCCCCCCTCAACATCAACTAAGATTTCCTAGTTTGAGATTGTAAAAGTGTTTAATAAAGGATAGACTATGTTGCCCTTTGGTCAAAATGTTTGTGTTTGATCTTCAATGGGAATATACAAAACCTCCAAACCTCCTTGTTGTACAAGTTCCCAAACAAAATGATAATATGTGTCCAGATGCTTTATTCTAGAATGGAACATTGGATTGGCACTGAGAGAAATGGCAGACATATTATCACAATGAATACTTGGTGGATGAGACAGAAAAACTCCCAAATCCTTCAATATGTTTCTTACCCATGCTATATCAGCAATAGTGTGTGCTAGTGCTTTGTACTCAACCTCAGTAGAACTTCGAGAAACTAAAGTTTGCTTCTTAGATTGCCATGATATAGGATTATTACCTAAGAACACAACATAACTAGTAATTGACCTCTTTGTGTTCAAATCAGCTGCCCAATCAGAGTCTAAGAAAGCATTTAATTGGGATGTTATTGTTGTAGAATATAAAACTCTAGTGTTCATTGTCCCTTGTAGGTATCTGAGGATTCGTTTCACAGCTCCAAAATGAACTTCAGTAGGTGATGACATGAACTGATACATAGTATTGACTGCATAGGCAATGTCTGGCCTAGTAAAGGTCAAGTATTGCAAAGAACCTACCAAACTCCTATACAAGGTTGGATCTGTCAACAAAGTACATTTTGACTCTAGCAATTGATGGTGTGGTTTACATGAAGTAGGGGCTGGTTTACATGTTTCTAGACTAACTTTATTAATCAAATCCTTGATGTATTTGGACTGATTCACAAAGATATCACCATTGTCCTTGTATTGAATCTGCAACCCCAAAAAATATGTGAGTTTACCCATGTCTTTCAAATCAAACACTGTAGATAACTCATGAATCACTCCTTGTATCTTATTAGAATTAGAACCAACAAATCCTTGAGGTTGCTTCATGTATACTTCCTCTTGCAAATCTCCATGAAGAAAAGCATTTTTAATGTCCACTTGTCTAAGATTCCAATGATTCATAGCAGCCAAAGCTAAAACAACCATCACTGTAGTGTGTCAAACCACTGAACTAAAAGTATCCAGATAATCAATGCCATGTTCTTGAGAAAATCCCTGAGCAACAAGTCTTGCTTTATATCTTGAGATTGTACCATCAGAATACTTCTTTACTTTATGGACCCACTTGTTTCCAACTATAGCTCTATCTTCTGGATATGCAACCAAAACCCAAGTTCTCCGAGCTCTTAATGAATCATACTCTTTTTGCATTGCTGCTTGCCATTGTGGGATTGTTGATGCCTTTCTAAAAGATGTTGGTTCTTGTATATCACATATTTCAAATAAGAATGAACATTCTTCAGTGAATGGATCTTTTTCAATAATTTGTAAATAATGAAGTTCAGGGAATGAAACTAGCAAAGCTGCATAATTCTTTCTTATAATAGCACCACTTTTTAATCTGGTTTTCATGGAATGTGTAGATTCAGAAGCAAAAGGGTATGGTTCAGGAGTAGATGAAAATGAAAAAATTACCTCGAGTTGGTTAGTTAAGTGGACAAGCAACATTGATGTTGTACCAGAAGTAGGAGAAGAGTGATGATTTGTATGATGAAACTGCAAGTTGTTGTCATTTGTCTCTTTGTGCTTTGAATTCTCAGTTATATCAACAGTGTGTTGGGAGTTTGAATTAACAGATGGAATGCTTCTGTCACTAGTACCTAAAGATTGACTCATCTCATATACTAACATATCTCTTCTTTCTTGAACCATGGCTTGATCATTATGGATATGCTGAGATACCCCTCTTGGTGCATTGAGTTGTATAATTACTAGAGAACTAAACTTCTCTGAGTTTCCCTTGAACCATGAGTAGCACAAATATGCCTAAATAGAAAGACATCTTCATCATGTATCACACTTCTGGAAATAATAAATTTCTTTGTTTGAATGTTGTAGCATAGTACCCCTTTATAGCCAGTAGCAAATCCCAAAAAGACACATTGTATTGATCTAGGTTGAAGTTTGTTCTCATTAAATGGTATGAGGAAAGGATAAATAACCATTCCAAAAATCTTCAATGAATGAATATCAGGTTTGCATTTGAACAGAACATGATATGAGGATTTCATGCCTAGATTCTTGCAAGGCATTCTATTTATCAGAAAAAACAGCATAAGAACAATTATGATACCAAATTGAGTTAGGAGTTTTGCATCTGACATTAAACTAATGTTCCCCTATTCAACCGCCCTACCCATTTAGATACTTTATGATATTGGTTGATGTGATATCTACTTGAGTAATTACACACTCAAGGGGAGAGAGAAGTGCGGTGAATCCATGGTTCTAAAAGACGCTACTAGTCGAGCAGTGGGTTGAAGCTTAACACTTAAGCAGACTAGATAGATTTAAGTAAATTTATTGTATATCATATAAATAAGTACCTATTTATACTTAAAAAAAACTATACTTATATTGAGAATTTGAAAAAGATAAAATGCAAAATAGAAGAATACATAATATATTATTTATACAACATATAAGTTTATTGAGAAAAGTGTCTTCAATTTTGGCATTGTCATATTTGTATGATATTTCTCAAATGAGGAATGCTTGTTTGCATGTATTAATATAAGATTTTGTTAATTATTTAATTAATTAAGTATTATTGTAATTCCTTGTGGTTCATTGTTGGTGGATTAAAAAAGTGGGCTGCATGAGTGACTTGTCATGGCCTACAAACCTTTTTGGCCCAAAACTTATCAGCTCGACTTTACAAAAGCGGTGTCGTTCGCCAAATTAAAAGAATTGCTATATGCCTTCTGCAACTCTACTCTGCCACGCGCCGCCGCCATCCTGCCTAATTTGTAGGTGGCAACCTACAGCCACCTTTCCAGGCAGCCACTTATGCGCGGCCGAATGCACTGTCCACTTTCCTTCACGGTTATGGATTAATCGAGGCAGCTGACTACCGCCGAGCGACTAAAGCGTCATCGAGACCAATTTTTAGAACACTCGGTGAACTATAGTATGTAATTAAATATAGGGGAAGAAAAACTAGTGTAATACATCCAAAGATGTTGATTACAAAATTACTAAGAAGTCCATGCACTGAAGAGGGAAGACTTAACCACCACGTCTTGATGTTAAGAATTTCAAAGCCTACTAAAACATGAAAAGGCGCAAAACAAAAGGTGTGGTTGGGCAAAAATAATCATTTTTAAAACCTTTCTTTTTCAAAGTATAAGTAACCTCTTACCATAAAACAAGTATGAGTTCGCAAAATATTGTACTTTGTAAGTATGCAAAATGAGGTATTAAATTAATAATAATACTCATACTCAAAATATAAAACCATTTACAGGAATGAGGCAAGTAAAATTGCAATTCCAAAGTATGTCATCGCTGATGATGATGATGATGATAATAATAATCAATGGCATCAACGGAAAGATGATATTTAAGTAGTAGATAATCACACTCAATAATCAACATATAAAGGATGCTCATCACAATTAATGCAAACATACAAGCTCATGCAGAGATATTCATACATAAAACATGCTGAGTGTTTAAGGTTTACACTCTAGTACTACATACATATGAAGTTGGCACAAAACACTTACATAAGAGTCCTAGTTGCCTATTGCAATCTAGGACATGCTAGCACATATATTGGATCCAATAAAAACGTAACAGTGCATGTGAACATAAACATAAAGCTAATTCTTAGCCCGGAAATACAAATAAAGAACCTATGAACACCGTGTAAACATTCATAATGAGTAAGTCAGTCATCTAAAAACATGACATGGATAATATGTCAAAACACAAGTGTCAAACCGTAATCTCACATAAAGTATTTTAAATCCAAGAGTAAAGTACAATGGTGAAACTTTGCCGAGCAAGATTCACCATTCATATAAATCACATCGCCGACAACACATAAAGTATTTGTGCTTTTAAAGTAAACGTAAAGCAAAGCAAAGCATGATATAAAAACATATCATAAAAACACGTTTGAAAACATATAATGTAATAGTTTAAAAAGGAAACCCCACTGACAGTCATGTCGTCAGATTGAAGTTACCTTGTGGGCTTCAAAGGTTCTCAAGATATGTTTCACTTAAGCAAGAAACCACATTAATAAAAGCTAAGAGCATTTTGAGTGGAGTCTTAAAATAGAGACAACCACTGTATATAATGGGTATAAAACAAATATAGACACAAATGAATCTCCAATGGTTTGCAAAGTGAGTCCTTAAAGTATAGGGACTCATCGGATACATAGTGTATGTCCTCACATATAAGGATTGTATAAGAACAACCTTGAGTGAAAAAACAGAGCCCACAATTTTGATTGAAACATTTAATGCTTTAAAATAATTAGAAAAGGTTAATATAAACAAGAATATGTGCACCTTAAATGGAAAACGAGGCCCACAATCTTGATTGAATAAAATGTTTTTTTTTTTTTGAATAAATGATATTTTCTACACTAAAAGATAGAGGGTAAGCTTAACCTCATAACGGGTAAGCAATAATTTGGTTCAAATTCGCCTTTGGTGAGAATTGAACCTAAGACTTCTCACTTACAAATAAAGATAAATACCACTAGGCCGTAGTACTAAGTGGCAATAAAATGCTTTTAGTGTTTTTAATTTTAGTGCTTTTAATTAATTAAAAAAAAGTTAACATAAACACAAAATGTGCACCTAAACAAATTATCATATAAAATCATAAAAACTTCAAATTTAAGGATTCCACTATTAGGACCCCCACCAAAAAAAAAAAAATGGCAGCAATAATCTTTAGGGACACAAAGATTCCCTTTAAGCCCTTAAATAAGTACTCTAAACTTTGTTCCTCTTGCAGGCACTCGTATTGCTGAGTGCTACAATAATATGCCAAGAGAATAGCTCATACATGTCATGAGAATGAGTCAACCAAAGACAACGATTTCTCTTCAAGGAGCATTTTAATCATTTCACCCCTCTGATGATTAAAATATTCTAATTTTCGGACAGCTGTAACATTATTTGTACTCAATCTTCAACAAATGTGTTTAAATTATTCAGCTGGCCCTTTGAAGAGGGTTTTGTAACTTTTGTACTCAATTTACGGATTTTACTTCCATTAGGAACGTGTTACAATGTGATAAACATAAAAATGTGGTATATCTAACATTAATCTAACAATGCAGAATGACAAAATCAAGTCTATGGTACCTTCGAACATGTTAAAGTCAAGGAATATCCTCTTGAGCATGGTTAAGTTTCCAATTTCTCTTGCTATGCTACCTGTTAAGTGAAATATGTAGACACCCAGTCGTAGTTAAAAAGGGAACCAACAGAGTAAGTTATATAATAACTGCAACAAGAGTATATGTAATTGTGTCATACCTTCGAAATTGTTATATCCAAGTAACATCTCCTGCAACATTGTTAACTTCTCGACTTCTCTTGGTATGGTACCTATCAAAGTTTAGGCTTGTAATACATAAAGATAAGGAAAAACTAAATAAACTAGCAGATAAATAACATGGTGTTAAAACAAAAGTAAAGTAATGAATCACAAAGTTTTCCAGATAACTTGTTTGACAACTGGTTTGGCTGTACGTACCGGATAGCTCATTGTTTCTAAGATTAAGTACTTGCAGTGCAGATAAGTTGAATATAGCATTTGGTATGGAACCTGAAAATTGATTACCATACAGATCGAGTGTTTGAAGTTTAGATAACGAACCAAACCATGATGGTATGGTTCCTTTAAACTCGTTGAATCTAAAGCTAATAAACTTCAATCTTCGTAGATGAGACAACTCTGTGGGCAAGGTACCACCAAAACTGTTGTTTCTAAATTCAAGACCAACAAGAAATGAGAGGTTGCCAAGGTGGGGAGGAATGGTGCCCGTGAGACCCATGTAGGAGAGATTCAAGGCTGTCACTCTAAGGTGGTGTACACCGCAAGTAACGCCAACCCAGTTGCAAATGTCGGAATTGGAGTTAGACCAGTTGGTTGTCAAGATGTTTTGAGCGTCAATAGTTATATGGGATTTGAGAGCAAGAAGAGCGGACTGGTCTGTGCTGATGTTGGTTTGTGCTGCTACTGAACCCACTGTTAAGATAGCCATGTATACGGAACAGTATTGGAATAGCAGCAGCAACAACAAAGTTGTCGACGAGAGGAAACAAGTTCTCGCCATTGTGTCTACTGTTCAGGCGGCTAACTATTGATGTGGAAAATGTGGTGTAGTCTGCAGTGATCACTCTCTGGAAACAAAAAAGAGAGAAGAAATTGGAGTTCAAAGGTTGCTTAGACTTTTTGTATTTTGGAACTTCAATTTATAAACATTTGAAACATAATAATCGTCCATATCTATTTTATTTTGTTTAATGGGGTCCGTATTTTGTTGATTGTGTCAATTCAACAACATGTTCCTCTAAAACTACTGGAAGAATGAAAAGTGTTGAGAATGAGTCACAAATTAATGGGAGGATGAATCTTGCATAAGCTTATAAGAGGTTGGGCTACTCCTCATATTACCAATTGGTTTTATGGTGCAACCTAAACTCTCTTCATGATATTAAAGAAGGCTGTCCCACGTGTGAAGTCAAACAGCCACACGCACTCCACGTCACCCCGTTGTGTTGTTCACGTGTTAAGCTTGAAAATTTGCCATACGTGAAGGGTGAAGTCAAACAGCCACAAGCACTCCACGTCATCCTGTTGTTTTGTTCACGTGTTGGGCTTGAAAATTTACCACATGTGAGGGGGCATGTTGAGAATGAGTCTCACATTGATGAGAGTATGGACCTTGCATGTGCTTATAAAAGGTTTGGCTACCCCCTATATTGTCAATTGGTTTTACGGTGAAACTTCAACTCTTTCTTCAAAGAGTTTGAATGACACGGTGAATTAAAGAGAAAAGTATTGTCCATTAAGGCAATCCATTATTTGCATACTAAATAGAATTATGCGTACAGACACCTTGTTTTATTACTTGTGAGTATATATGTGTGTGTGTGTGTTTGCGTGTGTTTCTAATCCATTGTGGTAAATATCCTGCAATAATTACAATTATAATTCATAAGAGTCTACAAGAACCGAAGAAATTGAGGTTTAATCATTAAATTAATTGGTAATACGGGGAGTAACTCAACTTACTTATAAAGAACTTGTAAGGTTTCTTCTTTCTCCCACGTGGGATTCATATATACTTTCAACACACACCCTCACATGTAACACGTAGAGGACATAAATTTGGTGACATGTAACACATGTGCCTGTTAGGCTTTACTCAAGAGACAATCTGCTCTGATATCTTAAAGTAGTTGAGGTTCCACCATAAAATCAATTAGCAATATGAGAAATAATTCAACTTACTTATAAGCTCATGCATGATACCTTCTTTTTCCGGATGTGAAATTAATACTCTTAACAAAAACCAATAATTATGTTGAAGACTCCGGAGTGATTAATGTTGAATAAAGCAAAATGTCTCACATGAACTATCTCCCAAAACAAATCATAACTTGTATCAAATTGTTCTACTTTTAATTGTATCAAAAGCTTTTTCATAAAAACCCAACACCTATTATTTGCACGAGTGTTTTAAGTGGAGAAGTACTGATGCTATTATTGATAGGCTGCAGCCCATCTCTCTAAAACATTAATAATTTGTTCTAATCTAACACGCATGTGTACATTGAATTTAGCAATTATCATTTTCAGACTCATTATAAGTTTAAGGAGAAATGCTAAGATGACTCTTTTAGAGTTGGAATTTTTATAAACTTTCTGTCACCTCACAGTTTAACGTTAATTCTCCTCTTAACGTTATAAAATATTGTGTCAAAAATATAAGTTAGCAGAATTTACAAAGTCTCACTAATTTAAGTTTAAGTGTTGCATAAAGTCTTCCAACTAATTTTATGATACCGACAGAAAGGAGGGAGGTAGCGTCTTGGTCATTCAACTACGAAGCCCTGCATTCAAATGGTGCCCTACTGAATCATTATTATATAATAGTTATTAAGCAGATTATCTGATATGAATGAACTGTAATGATAATAATAAACCTTGTTGGAAGTCCAAATTGAAAAAAATGGCAATAGTGGTTGAACTGATGAAATGGTGGAAATATGTGGACGGTGGGCTTCCCAAGTATTAATTTTTTTTTTTTTTTTCTACTAACATGCATGGTTTTCAAAATTTGCAAACACAGCTGGCAGCTGCCTTATTTGATTTCTACGGCAGCTATATTTAATTTTTAGCTCTATATCTTTCCAATCCAGATGAAGTATTCAGCCAAGAGTTGTGACCAATTAAATTAACATTAAATTAATTAATATAATAGAAAAAATTATTGAAGTTTTTTTATTTTTAAATTATGCGGGAGAAGGGTTGGGTTATTAAACTTCTAGATTTTCTTTGTAAGTCTTAATAGTGTGTTTGCTCTTCTAAATACTTGTTCAGTTGTTCACATTATTATCTCTTTTGTCCAATTTTTTTAAGAGTATAGATCAAGCTGGGTTCTTAATTAGCAAGACCTAAGCCATTGAGTGTATCATGACTTTTTTAGAGTACCAATAGCAACTCAAAGAAAGAAAAATAAAACAGTAGTTATATCACGAATATGTGGCCTTTGATAGTAATCATTTTTTTGTTGGAAATAGTTAATTGGTTAGTTGGTTTGGTTTATTATTGTGTTAGGAAATATTTGGTAGTTTGTACCCTAGGATTTTATGTAGGATTTGGATTTCTTAAATTAGGATTAAGGTTAATTCTCTAACAAAAAATGTTTGTAATTAATTGGTATATGTAAGTCTAGCAAGGTGTAGACTCTTCAAGTTATGTAGCGTTCTTGATAATTTTGTAATGTTTCATTATTTTAAGTTAATTTATAATATATTCGTTATTTTTAGGAGTTATTTTGTTCGTCTCTTCTGTGTACTATGATTAACAAATCTGCTTAGGTGACCTATTAACTAGATGCATGGACAATTAATTTTGATCCTTCCGAGCTTTTTCTTTTAAAATAATTTAGTCACTGTTATTTTAAACATACATTTGGATAGAAAATTGAGAATTTGACGGTAAGGTGCAAATTTGCCAGTTTTATTTAGCTTCATACTAAGTTTTTATGCTTTGTTTTTCAAGAGGTTTTGTTTTCTCTTTCTCCTTTGACAACAAGAATTTCTAGCTAAAACTTTAAGTGGTTATGTGATGTCTGACGAAATTTTTATTTTTGATTGCCAGTCGACTCTTCATTATAGACTTCAAGCCAATAATTGTTCCAAACAAAAAGGCAAACAAGGACATAAACTGAATCAAAGGGCATCAAATATTTCATAAAATCCATTAATAAGAACTTCATCGAAGTGCTTGAACAGGACGACGGTTTAACTGCACACTTCTTGCAGCGTCCTTCAAAAACTTGTTTTGATTTTTTTGAGCGTGGCTACAACTTCTCGCATGCTTATCCTCTCGTGTGGTGGTTCTGCAGAGCAAACAAAAGCTAATCGCAAAATGGACGATAAGCAATTTATCTTAGTCGAAGACTCGTGATCTTGCTCTTGTGCTGTTATATGAGGCAATTTTAGGGAATAAGGAATGTAGAGTTATTTTGGGTGTAAAGTTATGTAATTGGTATCCTTGTTGATTTGGGATGTTTGTTTCCTAGTTTGTAGGAGATTGTATAAGCCTATATATTCCTCTATGTGAGAAGAATAATATCATAACAATACTCATCCAAAACCTAGAATTTTATCTTGATACCAAAGCAGGTTTCAACCTGTCTCTTCTCAGGGAAAAAAAAAAAAAAAAAAAACCTAAACCCGTGTATACTCTAGCCGTCGGAAAAATTCTGGTGTTCATCAAACTTTGAACCCAAAAATATCAAAGCTTTGTGGTCTTTGGAATCAACAAAGCCACGATAAAGACAAATCGCTACTCTGGTACAATGGCAGAACAAAAAAGTGGGGCCATAATTTCCATGCAACCTGTAGCTGTCCAAGGTGAATCTACCAACATTAATGGCATTCCTTTTGGGTTTCGGTTGAGCGACACTAATTTCAAGGTTTGGGCGAAGATGATGGAGGTTCATGCTTCAGGTCTCAATAAATAAGGATATCTGGCGGGGAAAATTCCGGCAGTAGATGAAGATGATCTAGGATATGTGAAGTGGTCAACGGAAGATGCTATTGTGCGTGGGTGGTTGCTCAAAACCATGGAACCACATCTGCTTGGCCTCTTTGTAGACTTGCCCACGGCTAAAGATATCTGGGAGAGTGTCACACAGATGTTTTATGATGGTTCTAATGAGTCTCAATACTATGAACTTCGGTCCAAGGCAACATGGATGAGACAAGACGGTCGTCCAAGTAATCAGTACTTCACTGAATTGAAGGGTGTGTGGCAGGACCTTGACAAAAGATGTCTTCTTCATATGGTGTGTGGAGCAGATTTGAAAACTCATAAAGAAGAACTTGCAAAGGATAGGGTGTATGATTTTCTTGCTGGATTGGATAATGGTTTTGACCAAGTTCGGAGTGAGATTCTCAGGATGAAACCTATCCCTGGAATCCAAGAATGCTTCAATTTGGTACAACGTGAATCCCAAAGGTGGGCCACTATGATGGGAACAAAGACTACAATGGCAGTACCTCTCATGGCTGACACGCCCCGACCCCGATATTCCCCGAATACCAGGATAGGCACGTGCTGGCCGACACCCGAGGGTGACGAAAGCCATTTATTAAGTGCAAATGCTGAAAATAAAGGATAAATAAGGTTTATAAATATAAAAGAATAATGAATATGCAAATAAGGATCGTGTTCAGAGCACACCACTAATCTAGAACACTAAAAGAAAATAATATAAAATTGAATGAAACGAAGGAGTGGATCCTACACCGAGAGGACTCGAAGATGCCGATGCTGAAGTGCGTGGACGTCGGGATTGTATGCCTCGATTCTAAGTCCTGAAGGGGGCGCAAAACAAACATGAGTGGACCAAGTTGATATATATATAATAAAACAGTTATCAACATACTAACCCCCAGGTTTTATGAAAACACATATATATGATGATAGACATAGGTTTTCCGAAACCTAGCATGTCGTGCAATATCTCAAATCATAATTCGCATAAATAATAAACACTAGTGAATGTCCGATATAACTCTCCAGGCCTCATGCCGGCTCCCCGTCTCTGAGCACACAGTCAGAGGAAAATGCACTTCAGGCCCCTTGCCGGCTCCCCGTCTCTGAGCAGACAGTCAGAGGAAAACACACTCCAGGCCCTATGCCAACACCAAACCGTCGCCCGGGACGGACCGGATCTATCCCTACGTCCCGTAGCGGAAAGGACCACTAGGTAAGTACAAAACCAGTGAACATACATATATTGAAAATCAACTTCATAGTATAAAGTCATTCATCATCTATACTATAAAGAGGTGTTCTAAACATGTTCTAAATATCATATCGTCATCCATCAGATATTCTACAAGAACATGGGTTATAGGAAAAATAGTAATAATTCAAACTAGCCTCAGTAAGCATGTTATCTCGTAAAACGTTTCATAAAACATAATCGTAAAGTCATGCTTTTCATGTATGCAGTTCTACTATTAAAACATGCATTTTTAGAAGGGGTCCACTCACAGTACTTCACCGTCGAAAAGCCACGTCATCTAGCGAAGAAGGAAACGTCATCGATAATTGCCCCTAAGCACATAAACGGTACATTTAGTCAAACTCCACTCAAACGGTTGAATTTGGGAAAACAGACATCGGAAACGGGTTCAGGACGTCGAAATTAGCCTAGGAGGGGTCCCGCACGAAAACCGAAAAAAGTCAACCCGAGGTCAAAGTCAACGCTGACCGTTGACCGGGTCAACGGTCAACGGGTCAGTGTCAACGGGTCAGGTCCGGGTCCGGGTCAACGGGTCAGGGCCACGGGTTTGGGCTTTAGGGTTTGGGTTAGGGTAAATGGGTTTAGGTTTTAGGTGGGTTGGGTTGGGTAAAAACAGAAAATGGTTTGGGTTTTGGGCTAACAGGCCTGAAGGCCTTAAATAAGAAAAAGGGAAATGGGTTTTGGGCTGCAACCAAGGCCCTAAGGCCTTTTGGGTTTTTAAAATGAGATAACTAAAAACAAAAAAAGGAAAGGGTGAGGGTATTGGGCCAAAGACCCAAGTCAGGCCTAAGGCCCGCGGGTGTGGGAGATGGCCCGAAGGCCTGGGTGCGCCGGAGAAGACCACCGGAGCTTCCATAGCTCCGGCCGACGCCAAACCTACAACCTATACCCCGATCTAGGTACCAAAATGAAGCACTAGCCGAGAGGAGTAGTTTTATACCTTGGGTTCGCCGTGAAACGGCTTGTGGTGGCCGGAAAACCCTCGGAAACCACACACACTCGCCGGAAAATTTGGGTGCCTTCACTCGTGCCAAAGCACTCCAAAACCTTGGAAAATCACGAACCCATCTCAGTAACTACATTTAACCAACATCTAACAAGACTAAAAAGGGAGAAACCATGCTTACCCAACCGGAAAAACAACCAAAACTCGCCGGAGGTGCTCGGCGTACTCCGGCACTGCGAGCAGGGGAGAGAGAAAGAGAGAGAGAGAAGCAGTTCAACGGCGATGATGGTGATGATTTCCTCGAGTAGGTGTAGCTGTGGGTGTGTGTGTGTGTGTGGTTGTCACGGGTAGAAGAAGAAGAAGAAGAGGAATGAGAGTTTTCGAAAAGAAAGGAAAAAGGTGCAGACAACAAAAGAAAAGAAGGAAAAGAAGAAAAAAGAAAAAGAAGAAAGAAGGAAGGAGGGACACGGCAGGGGGGACAAAATAAGGGGTGGGCCCCTTGGGCTCACCAATTAAGGCTCAAAAACAATTTTAAAATGGAAAGTATCCCCCAAACTTAGTGAAAAATACAAAAAATACCCATTTTCTTACGTAAATCACAGGACGGGTTGTTACAATGGCTATGGCAACTAAGGCACCCAGTTCTCATCCACCATCCAATGGAAATTCTTGATCATTCCATACCCAGGAGGATATTGATAAAGACAAACTCCATTGCAATCACCATAATGGAACGAGACACACTAAGGAAACCTATTTTGAAATTCATGGGTACCAAGAATGGTATTGGGAAAGGAAGAAGAAACTACAGGCAAGAGGGAATAAACGGGCTGGACAAGCCCGAGTGGCAGCCACTGGATCAGGAGCTGGATCTAGTGCCTTAGAAAGCCAAGTTAGGCCCAAAGCCCAATAGGAATGAGTTGATACGGGCAAGGGGTAGCTGCTGTTGCAGCGAGTCAATCAGGGCCCAGCCCGTCAAGTTAAATCTTGGCAGCCAATTATGTAAGGCCAACTTCAAAGACAGGATCCACGGAAACTGAAACAGACCCACTTCTATCCTTAATCAATCAAATTTCAATTGGTGACAACTCGAAAAATTCAGGTAAAATCAATATTGTTTTAATAACATCCACCAAAAGAGATACTGGTTGGATAATTGACTCAGGAGCTACAGACCATATGACTTACGATGCATCATTGTTTTATCACATGACTTCACCATCTAAAGACAATGTTATTACAACCAACGGTGATGTTGCTCTTGTAACGGGAGCGGATTCTATTCCTCTTACTCCATCTCTATCTATTCACAACGCACTGCTTGTTCCATCATTATCCAATCATCTACTTTTTGTTGGTCAAGTTACTAAGCAATTGATTGTGTTGTGTTAATGTTTCCCACTTTTTGCCTACTTCAGGATATCCAGACTCTGGCGATAATTGGGTATGGTACCAAGAGGAGAGGGTTATATTATGTGGATGATGTATCGGCAAGTCGAGTAAATCAAGTGAGCAATGGCCACCAAAACAAGAATAAGGCAATTGGGTTATGGCATCGTCAATTAGAGCATGCATATTTTGGTTATTTGAAAAAATTGCTTCCATCTTTATTTCATGGCACTTCAGATTCTGATTTCCTGTGTAATGATTGCATTCTTGCAAAAAGTCATCGTACTTCTTATCAATTAAGTTTCAATAAAAAAAACCGTTCCTTTTGAGTTAGTTCATTATGATGTGTGGGGACCTTTTCCAATAGTTACCAATCATGGGGTTCGTTGGTTTGTTATCTTAGTGGATGACTGCACTCGGATGACTTGGCTATATACTATGAAACATAAAAGTGAGGTTGGATCGATTTTTCACCAATTTTACTACACAGTTAAAAATCCATACTCTCTTCCCCTTAAGGTTCTTAGGTCAGATAATGGCGGGGAATATCTCAACACTAAACTCTCTCAATTTTTTTAGGAGCATGACATTCTTCATAAGATTACTTGCCCACAAACCCTGCAACAAAATGGTGTCGTAGAGCGAAAATATAGACATTTTGGAACCCACTTGTGCATTCCTCATTGGTGCTCATACTCCTCACTCCTATTGGGCGGATGTCGTTAGATACTCTGTTTATCTAATGAACCGAATACCATCCTGAGTGCATAATTTTCGTGCTCCTATGGAAGTTTTTGCTGATCATGTGACATTACCATCTTTTCTTCCTTTATCTCCACGTATTTTGGTTGTGTGGCCTATGTGCATCTTCACAAACATCAATGTAGTAAGTTGGACCCATGTGTAATTCGTTGTATTTTTCTGGGATTTAATAATCAGCAAAAGGGGTATCGGTGTTATCACCCACCAACCAAGCATATGTACGTCACCATGGATGTTACATTTTCTGAGCATAAGATGTTTTTTCTCACTGAACACACCTACTATAATCTTCAAAGAGAGATGAGCACAAATGAAGATTATAGGTGGATTAATTTGCCAACGGTGCAAGAGGATAACACCTGCCATGGTCCAGTAGTGGGTCATGTGAGTCAAAATCATGAGCCCAGCAGCTTGGGTAAGCCAAATATGGGCTTGCCGAGTTTAGAAAATAATATAGGTGGGCCTGAGGGCCTAAAAGCTGAAAGCTTGACAAGTGAGCCCGAGGAGCCTGAGGACATGAGGGCTGAAAACCTTTCTGAAAACAACAAGCAAATTAGGCCGTGCAGCAGAGCCGAAAGCCTTTCTGGAGATAGTGCAGGTTGCAATCTTCAACTAATTTTGACAGCCTAAATACTTCAAGAAATAATCCTCCTCTAATTGTACCCATCCGTGTCCCCGAGGATATCCATGAGGTAAGTTTATCCCAATCTAATGAAGCTCGTAATTTGACTAGCATTGAAAGTACTTATGTATTGCCCCCTAGACAAAGTCGTGGGAAACCTCCTAACAGGTATTCTCCAGATGGGAAACTTAGATATGTTATTGCCAAGTATGTCTCTACACACAGACTGTCTTCCAAGTACCAAGCCTTGGTGAATACAATGGATGGAATCAAAATTTCAACAAAAGTGGAAGAAGCTTTGCAAGATCCTCGATGAACAGAAGCAATGGTGGTAGAAATGAAGGCCCTACAGAAAAATGGAACTTAAAGCTTGGAATCACTACCACAAGGGAAAAGACCAGTGGGATGCAAATGGGTGTTCACCATCAAATACAAGGCCAATGGAACCTTTGACAAATACAAGGCAATGTTGGTAGCAAAGGGGTACACACAGACTTTTGGAGTAGATTATCAGGAAACATTTGCCCCAGTAGCAAAGATGAATATTATACGGGTCCTGTTGTCTTTAGCTGCTAACTTTGATTGACCATTAAAACAATTTGATGTGAAAAATGCTTTTCTGCATGGAGACTTGGAAGAAGAAGTATATATAGAGCTTCCACCTGGGTATGAAGTGCAGAATAAAACAGGTAAGGTATGCAGACTACGAAAGGCTCTTTATGGACATAAACAATTGCCAAGCCTAGTTTAGAAGATTTACTGATGCAATGAAGAAATATGGGTATTGATAAAGGAATACGGATCACACCTTATTTATCAAACGCAGGGGAGGAAAGGTTACCTTGTTGATAATATATGTGGATAATATGGTAGTCATAGGTGATGATACAAAGGAAAGGGAAAGATTACGAGAGTATCTTTCTTTTGAGTTTGAGGTGAAAGATTTGGGAGGTTTGAAGTCTTCTTGGGAATTGAAGTTGCTCGTTCCCGTGACGACATTTACTTATCTTAGCAAAAGTATGTTCTGGATCTTTTGTCTGAAACTGGGATGTTGGCATGCAAACCAACAGAAACACCTATAGTTCAAAATCATCATTTGGTTATCTACCTATACCAAGTTCTAGCAAACAGGGAAAGATACTAGAGGTTAGTAGGAAGGTTGATTTACTTGTCTCTCACGAGACCAGATATTGCATATGTTGTTAGTGTAGCAAGTCAATTCATGCACTCTCATAGTGAGGATCACATGGCTGTTGTTATGCGAATATTAAGTTCTTTGAAAGGTGCACTTGGAAAATGGTTGATTTTCAGGAAACATGGGCATATGGAGGTAAAAGGGTACACTGATGCTGATTGGGCCGGGAACATTACTGATAGACGCTCAACATCAGGGTACTTTATATTTGTTGCAGGAAACCTTGTGACTTGGAGGAGCAAGAAACAGAATGTAGAGGCTAGGTCCACGACAGAGGCTAAATACCGTGGGATGGCGCATGGGATTTGTGAGTTATTATGGCTGAGGATTCTTCTTATAGAGATTGGGTTCAAGCGACGTGGAGCGATGCTTTTATATTGTGATAATTAGGCTGCGCGAGAAATAGCTAATAATCCAGTTCAACATGATCGTACAAACCATGTTGAGGTGGATAGACATTTTATCAAAGAGAAGTTGGATGTTAAGTTAGTTGATATTCCATATGTAAGATCCGAAGATCAACTGGCTGATGTGTTGACACATGTAGTGGTGACAAAGGTGTTTCAGAACTCACTGGATAAGTTGGGCCTAGATGATATCTACACACCAACTTGAAGGGAAGTGTTGCATGAGGCAATTTTAGGGAATAAGAAATATAGAGTTATTTTGGGTATAAAGTTATGTAATTGGTATCCTTGTAGATTTGGGATATTTGTTTCCTAGTTTGTAGGAGATTGTATAAGCCTATATATTCCTCTATGTGAGAAGCATAATATCATAACAATACTCATCCAAAACCTAGAATTTTTTCTACTAGTAGAATGGCATCCACAACTTCAGCTATTGCTTCAAATGATAGTGAATCTGCAACCCATTGCTTTAGATTCATTTCGTCACCAAACATCTCATTTATAGGCTTCATTTTTGTGAATGTTTCGTGACTACAATACCAAAACTGTACACATCCCCTTGCGTTGAAACAATTCCATCCATTCCATACTCTACAATATTAATATACCAAAGAAAGTTAGAAGTTCAGTTCTTTATGATTATAAGGACAAGATGTATAAAATTGAAAGATATATAACCAGCAAGCCATATAACCAACTGTGGCTAGGGTCATGATTCGGGTCATGGAATCCCCTAAACCCAGGATTTTTGCAATGCCAAAATCCGCAATATGTGCAACCAACCATATCATCATCTAGTAGTATATTGCTTGCCTTCAAATCACAATGAACAATTGGTACTGAATAACCATGGTGTAGGTATTCCAATGCCAATGCAACATCTACCATTATATTCAACCTCTTTAGGATATCAAAAGAAGAGTTTTGAGAATACAACCACTTCTCAAGGCTCCCATTAGGCATGCAGTTCAGCACCAAGGCTTTGAAATCCAATTGGTTGCAACAACTGATGATTTTAATAAGTTTTCGGTGCCGAATATTAGCATTTCACATTCCCTCTCAAAGCTCTTGAAAGCCCCTTCCAGCTGCAAATCGAAAATCTTTACTGTAACATCTATCCCATCCGACAATATGCCTTTATATACTGAGCCAAAACCCCCACTTCCAATTAAGCTGCTCTCGTTAAATCCATTTGTCGCCCTTAGAAGTTCAAGTTGTGAAACTCTTCTCCAAAGCAATTGAGTTAACACAGTAGCCTCTGTTGCAACTTTATCTTTTCTTTTCCTATGCAGTATAAATATAGATACAAAGGCTACAAAGAAGATTCCTGTTACGATTATTCCTGGAATAATATATTTCAAATTGGATGATCTAGCTTTCCTTGGATTTGGTTGAAGTGTACTGTTTTTGCATGGAGGGACATGGAGTCGAGCTGCACCACATAGCGCCTTATTCGAGACAAATGATAGAGCAGATAAGTTTTTGAAACGGACCGCCTTCTGGAATTTCCCCTTGGAGTTTGTAAAAGACAAATTCAGGTACTTAAGATTTAAAAGTGCTTACAGGGACTTTGCTTCAGACAAATTGTTCACGGATAAATTCAAGCGTACAAGGCCTCTCAAGTTGCCGAATGAACTGGGAATAGGGCCTTCCAAATTATTATTTGCCAAGGACATAGTAACCATATCTAGAAGGTCCCCGGTGGTACTTGGTACAATTCCAAGTAAATGGTTGCTTGATAAATCCAAGTATGACAAAACTTTCAACTTGCCAATATCTTGTGACAGATATCCTTTTAGAAGATTGGATGACAAGTTAAAGAATCAAATTTGTTCAAGTTCCCACAAGGTCGATGGTATTGTACAAGTTAACAAATTGGAAGCTAATGATAGCCTTCGAAGATTTGCAGATAGATTACCTAAGCAAGAAGGTATAAAACCAGAAAGTTGATTCTCACTTAAATATAAATCAGCTAGTTTGGTTATCAAACAAATACAAACCTTGGAGACTCCCTAGTCTTCCCATAGAAGTTGGAATTAACCCACTCAATTGATTGGATGCCAGCTTTATGGATATCAAGCTGCTAAAGTTGCCAATTTCAATGGGAATGCTGCCCTTCAATTTGCAATGGTCTAAAGTGAGCAGTTGAAACAATGTAGAGAGATTCCGAAAAGAAACAGGAAGATGAGCGTTTAGCGGATTACGTCCCAGGATCAATACCCTAAGATTTCTAAGACTAGCGAACAGGAAATTCTGGAGTTGAAGTGTCAATTGTCAAATTATTTTTGTATAGGCTAAGATGGTCAAGGTTTGTTAAGGCACATAGCTTGTTAGGAATAAACCCGGAAAAAGAGTTTTCACTCATGTCTACATGAGTGAGCTTTGAAGCATTAGAGATAAAGATGAGAATTACTCCACTGAGTTTATTCATTCCTACGAATATCTATTGTATGTTTGGAATCCCAAGGCCTATGTCTGCTGGGAGGCTGCCTGAAAGTTGATTAACAAGTGAAATTCCTATCAGCTTCGACGTATTGAAGATTGTGGATGGAATGGGGCCGCTGAGATTGTTAAAATTGAGTGACAAATACAGTAAATTTTGAAGATCATCAAGTTCATACGGTACAGTACCTGCCACAATTAGTATTAATTAGCACCCAAATTCTGTTCTTAATTTATTTCAACAGTAATTTAGTGCTTGATCAGTAGAAAATTGGAACTTTGTGTATGAACTTTTCTAATCTATTATATAATTTGTCATGAGTTTGACTCCATTTGAGTTTTAAGTTTTGACTTAATGTTTCAGGTAGTCCTCGGTAATATTAGGCAATCATCTTCTCAGTGTTGGCATCCATTTTGTTCGAAATACAATAGGACTTTCCTTGCTATGATACAAATAATATTACAAAAATAAAGCTATAACAGTATTGTGAACCATTACTATTCATTTATCTTTATGCTCTATACTAATGAGAATAAAACCAAAAAGGTAGTTCATTTGATAGCTGTTTCATTTTTAGTTTTTTTTATTTTTATTTTTTTGATATGTTTAAGACATGAGTAAGTATATGGAAAAAGAGGGATGGAGAAAGGTGATAGGACATAGAGGAAGACATATAGAAGAATGAATTGAAAAAAAAATCTTGAAAGCAAATAAAATAACTTAAATTGGTTTTTGATTTTTTGTTTTGATTTTGTATTTTTCATTTTATACACTCTCCTGCTATCCTTAACACTTCTATATTCCTAATCTCTCCTATTCCCGAGATTCAGCCATGCGTCGCTTCGATTCGTCACTCTAAAAAAAAAAACAAAAATTCTCCTATTTCCCTCTAGCTCAATACAAAAATAATAATAATAATAATAATAAATTGAAATTGTTGAATTTTCTTTCCTCTTTTTTTTTTTTTTTTTTTTTTTTTTTGGGGGGCTTGATAATGGTTAGGTGAGACTTAGGGGTGTATTCAATTTTGGAAGATTTAAAGGGTGTATTCAATTGAGGTTTTGAAGGCTTATAAAAGAGTTAATTGTGAAGTTTGATGGAGTTCTTAGAGTCCATGTAAATTCATTCAAAATGGGAGATGGATGGCTGATTTCCTAAAGCCTAAATCACACTATAAAATCCTTAACTTTTTAAAATACTTTAAAGTCAATTTCTAATTGAATATACATTATGTGACATCCCACATCGTCCAGAGGAGTGGATCCTGTAAGCCTTATATGTATATTCTCAGCTCTACCTAGCACGAGGCTTTTTGGGAGCTCACTGGTTTCGGAGTTCATCGGAACTCCGAAGTTAAGCGAGTAGTGTGCGAGAGCAATCCCATAATGAGTGACCCACTGGGAAGTTCTCGTGTGAGTTCCCAAAAACAAAACTATGAGGGCATGGTCAGGACTCAAATCGGACAATATCGTGCTACAGTGGAGTTGAGCCCAGGATGTGGTGGGGGCCCGGGCCAGGATGTGACAATTTGGTATCAGAGCTCATCCCTGGCCAGATGTGTGCCGATGAGAACGTCGGGGCCCCTAAAGGAGGGTGGATTGTGACATCCCACATCGCCTAGGGGAGTGGATCCTATAAGCCTTATATATATATATATATATATATATATATATATATATATATTCTCATCTCTACCTAGCACGAGACATTTTGGGAGCTCACTAGCTTCCTTTCAAATTTTGATTAAATATCCATGAATTGATTTAAAATTTTGATTGAATTACCCTTGAATTTGTAAAAAAATTTAAAATCTTTAAACTCCTAATTGAACATAACCCTTCTCCCCCTTCCCCTCCCCCACCACCCCCACCCCCCCCCCCCCCCCACACAAAGAGGTACAGATTCATGGTGTTTAATGGATTTCATAGACTCTCTGTCAATATTCGGTGAATTCATTAAAAATCTTAAGGAGAGGCCTGATTTCCTAAAGCCTAAAAAACACTGTAAATCCCACCAAATCCATTAAAATTCTTTGGCTTTTAATATACTTTAAAATTAAATCCTAATTGAATACACATGTTTTATGAATTATTTTAAAATCCGGAATGAATTGCACTTGAATTTTTGTAGAGTTTTATAAGCTCTTTTAAAATATTGATTGAATACTCATGGACTTTCATGAATTCAATTAAAATCTTGATTGAATACATCTGATTTGTAAACTCTTTTACAATCCCTTAAACTCCTAATTAAATACACCTGACTTCAACTTGAGTACTTAATCTTATTTATTCTTTAAGTATGCAATTTTTTCTCTTTTTTGGTTAAATGACAGATTTTGTTAGATTAGATGTTAGATTAGCCACTGACGAGATTCAAACCCACACCGTATGCAAGGACTCAAACTCCTTTCCATCACTGTAGTAAAGTGCCACGCCCCGATCCCTACATACGTCCAGGATCGACACGTGACGTCACCAAATATTCGTATATCTCACATACCCCGTCTCCGGAATATGGCAAATCACAATTCAAGAATCAATTTGCAAAGAAATTTTTCGTTCACCTTATGGCTGCATCTAACCTTCTCGTTAGACTGCCTACGTACCCTCAACAGGGATCAAGCCATTCGTGGTTCACAACACAAAATCAAACGTTTATTCCACTAAGTTCAAGTAGAAAAGCATAGCATTCCTCAATCATTTATTATAACTTGACAACATGTAGTTCCTGGACTCAGGCTACATAATCAATCCCCATGAAAACATGATTTCTCTCCTATCCAACATAAAAATCATTAAGTTTCATCATGATATCGCAATTCACAACGCACATCATATTTAAAAGCCGACTAACACAAAACCATCCTCTAGCCGCATTAAATAATTAATTAATTTGCTCAAAGTAAAACAATCATTCTCATATCTTCTAAATTCATACCTTATGAAATCATAATCAAATCATAAAAAATCCTGAAGAAGTCACTCAGACGTCCAACATCTTTTCTAACTCAATTCACAAGACTCTCAAAACCATTGACACAAATATATATATATATATATATATATATATATAACTAAGGCCAGAGTGACACAGTTAGGCCAAGCCTACTTCTCCAAACAATGGGATTTTAGGCCGCCCCATGAAATTCAACAACCTCGGGTTCCGAACCACTCAACGGAACCAAACCAAATATGATTGCCTACACATGTACCATGTACAATTAGTCACCATCATCTCTAGAATGCGTATGGTCCTCCATCGCTGATATACCAAGCAGGACCATAGGCATAAACTCATCGTGCAGGCAGTGATCACCCATCGCGGATATACCAAGCAGGACCATCCATGTACCATCACTACGTGGTGCAATCTCATCATCACACATTAAACATAATTATACGCATACATGCTATTGATTCCACATATCAACCAGCATCAAGTCAGATGGAGCACAACACAAGAAATTCCCTCAATTACTATTTCTACTAAAATTCAATAAAGTACCTAACTCATCTCCAGACTTTCATCTCCATCTCAGGAAAATTTTTAGGTGTACCGGGTACACCAAATTTTTTTGGTGTACCCTCACTCATTAGAATTTTTTTGGTGTACAAAAAGTGAGGGTGCACCAAATTTTTTTGGTGTACCCTCACCATTATGAGTGAGGGTACACCAAATTTTTTTGGTGTACCGGGTACACCGAAAAATTGCTCCTCCATCTCATGCTAGGTAATAGTGCCAAGTTCAAATAGGTATCCAGTTGGCAAGCATATCCAAATAATTATCAAACAATAATTAGCTCCCATAATCGTCATAACATTCATCATAATTATCGTTCACATTATTAAAAAGATAATCAAACACATATATATCACAAACATCATCAATACACAAGCCAAATCATAGTTAATTAGCATATATTTATGGCTAAATATATAAAATTCACATTTCAATAGAAATCACATTATAAAACCAACTCACATTTTCATACTAGTAAACATGCATATTATTTCTCAACTATGCAATCAACATCGTAAGGTTCTATGCCTATGCTTCATAACCTTCTTTCTCTATCCTTTAATAAACCAACCTAAAGTTAATGATTTTCAAAACACTATCTCTTCACTCTTGCCACTACCCTCTTTTTGACGTATTAAATGGCAAATATATATATATATATATATATATATATATATATATATTAAGAGAAATTGGTTCGTTTACCATTGATTTGAATAAAAATACTCGTAAACAAACTAAACTCTTAAACCCCAACCAAACACACTCAACTAAGCACAAAATTAACAAGGATGTTATTTCAACTAGAATTCCCTTCTAGGTCTAGATGCTTGGTAACGAAAGAAGCATTTCATAAATCAAATGTTACATATCGGAAAATTTGACTTTTCTCAAAAATTCTCAAATTTCACAAGAATGAAGATCTCAACAAGTAGAGTAAACTTTATACTTGCGGCCAAGGCCAATTTGGCCGAAAAACACCCCAAACTGGCCACAAACCGCTAGAACCGTAAGGTGGGTGTTCTTCAATTCGACTTCTTTGGTTTTCCAATGCCTCTACAACCTGATGGGTCTTGTTCCTGGGTCCAATGGGAGTTGATTAAGGGTGGTGTTGAGTGGTGAAACTCGCCGAAAAGGCAAAATCGGCGTGAAACCCCTCTGGTTTCCCCGCACTATTCTTCACTATTTTTGATCTAAAAACCCATAATCTTGGGTGGAAATGGTAGAAGGGATGTTGTAGAAGAAGTTGTAGGTCTTGTATGGTGGTGGTTCAACGGAAAAGATGGCGAAAATCGCCGAAATTTGCTCAGGTGGGGGCGCGGGTGCACAGACGGGAGGGAAGGTTTCTTCCTTCCATTTTTCTTTTCATTTCCCCTCCGTTTCTTTTTTCCTCCTCCTCATTGGTTCTTTTCTAATCCCCTAACCGGTTCCCTTAACCCAATTAAATATTTGGGCCTTTTACCCTTTAGTGGAAATTAAATAATTTTCACAACCTAAAGTTTCACAACTTCAAACGTCCGTAACTATACCATTATAATCCGAATTCGCAAACGGTTTTCGCCTATGCACTCGTGGCTTCGAGATATATTCGAAAACGTTACTTGTGACCTCAAGAGGTCAACGAGTAAATAATAATTTTCCAAACTTCACCCTTCGTAACTAGTTTAATTGAAATCTAATTTCAAATAAACTAATATAAATTCTCGAAAAATAATATAAAATCAATAATACAAATACATAGATTATAGCAGTGAAATCCGGGAACAAAATTTCACATAAAGGGTCACTTGCATTCACAATACACAATAAAAGCTTTTTCTATTCTTTTATTAATTTATTTATGTATAGGATTCCATTCGCCCTATGGTTGGGAATTAATGATTGGCTCTGTCTACAAAGATTTTGGATTGGTATATTAAAGCAGTGGCTCATTATATTAACACCCCACAAATTGTTGAATAAACCCCACATTTGCTTTTTCACTTAAAAATTATCTTAATACACCTCACATACTTTTTCATAATACCCCCCACATCCCACACTCTCAATATACAGCTTATATTTTGTATATACACCCCACATTTCTCAAATCTTATAACACTCATTTTTTATTTTTAGGGACTGAATCTAACCATTTGAACGTTTAGTTTGCCAAAAAATTTCAAATCATCTAAACGTTTAGTTTGCCGAATGATTTCAAAATGATGATTTGCTAGGTAGGGTAACAGCAGCAATGGCTTCATTGTTAGGTTTAATTTTATGGTACGCAATTTTTGTTTTCACTTTCACGAACTTCATTTCTGCAATGTGGAGCACTTCTAAAACATTGGTATCCATTACTTCCAAACACTGAGAAATTTGAGAAAATATTTCTTGGACGGACAAAGGTAAGGAGATTTCATGTAAACTCTCATTGTGATCCCCAAAAGATGAATATGAATATAAAAGTTTAAATAACGCAGCAAACGCAAGACTAAATAATTATCGATGTCATTGAAATCAGTAAAACAATGAAAAATATGAAGTCTTACCTCATGTGAAGCTGGGTTTTGATAGTTGAGAAGATAAATAATATGCTAAAATTGACTTGGGATGTATTTAGAAATGTTTATTTTTTTAAAACCTAATAAGGTCAAAATTGTCATTGCATAGTGGGATAAATAAGTCATTTAATATTAATTTTTAATGTGGGGTGCATTCAACATTTTGTGGGATGCTAATATAAAAACCCTAAAGCATTTATAATTAAGTTTCACCAAAATTTATTTATCAATTAAAATAGGGACCCTTTTTTCTCACAACCATAATTATGGTGTTTGCTCACCATATACCTAATCATTTTTCATGTGTCATTTCAACTAACTTTAATTAAATTTCACATTAATGTTACTTTTTCAATTTTGAAAAAAATTAACCAAAATTAAGTGAAATGACATATGATAGATGAGCATTCAGCAATGTTTAGGGTGGCGATCAATAATCATGACTTGAGCAAGGGAACATATATTACTCTATGATAAATGGACTTCGAAATAAAGTACCTGTCAATGTGGTGTTGGCAAAACCAAGCTGTGTTAACTGGGTCAAGTTCCCAATAGTTCTTGGTATGCTTCCACTGAAATTGTTGAAGTCTAATAGTTGAATCCCACCTTGGCTATACAAAAAGAAAAGTAATAGCTTAAATATCATAATCCTATTCTAATTAATACCGAGGTCTTTTGTGATAAAACCCCACACCTGACGGATTGTGCAGATGGTAATTACCAAGTTGGGGACAATATCGGTGTTGTTGGAAGCGGGTCGTATGGCCCGTCTCTCTGATAATTCTACATGGTATCAAAGCCAGAGAGCGAGCCCATACTGTACTGCCACATGATGGGTGGGTCCCCTTAACCCCGCACGATGATGGTGGGTCCCTTGGCCCTGCGTGTAGGGTGAGTCTCCTTAGCTTAACGTGGTTGCCGATGTGTGGATCTCCCACGTATGACCCACTAATTGAAAGTAGGCCGTATGGCCCGTCTCTCTTATAATTCTACAAAAGTAGAAGCTCTTTGCACTGCCATAACTTGCGTGGAATTGTACCATCAAACTGGCTGCGGGCCAAATTCAACGTTTGAATGCTTGGAAGATACTTGCATATATATTGTCTGGCAAACTACCACTTAAGTTGTTTTGGGTTAGAGCCAAAACTGTCAAAAAGGACATGTTGAAGACAGCCACAGGAATAGGACCTTTTAGGGCATTAACCTGCAGAAACAACGTCTCCACCTCATCTTTACTGCCAATCAAGTTTGGAATTTCTGAAAAAAAAAAAAAAAAAAAAAAAAATCACATATACGTTTAACAATAATGTGAAAAATGCTGGGAACGTGGTACAAATGTGCATAGTTTACTGCCAATCAACTTCTCGACCTGATCTTTAGTGCGTCTACCTCTAGAAACGTGGTGCGTAGTTTACAAAAAATGTGATTTCGCTAGCATATTAATCTAATAATGATGAGGAATGACAAATCCAAGTCTGTCCTACCTTCAAACATGTTAAAGTCAAGGAATACCCTCTTGAGCATGGTTAAGTTCCCGATCTCTCTTGCTATGCTACCTGTTACTTAAATGAAATACGTAGATGCCCGTAGTTAAAAAAAAAAAAAAATGAACCAACCGAGGAAGCCATATAATCATTGCAACAAGCTGATTGAGTCATACCTTTGAAATTGTTATTTCCAAGTAACAACTCCTGCAACATTGTTAACCTCTCGATTTATCTTGGTATGGTACCTATCAAAGTTAAAGGTTTGTAAGATATACTTGCCGCAGCAAAAGAATAAGCAAAAGATAATGATAAACCAGCAGAGATAAATAACCTGGTGTTAAAACATAAATACATTAAGTAATGATAACAAAGACTTCCAGAAAGCATGTACGTACCGGATAGCTCGTTGTCTCTAAGATTAAGCACTTGCAGTGCAGACAGGTTGAAGATATCATTTGGTATGGAACCTGAAATTTGATTACCGTACAAATCGAAGGTTTGAAGTTTAGATAACGAACCAAACCTTGATGGAATGGTTCCATTAAAGTCGTTGAATCTAAGGCTAATCAACTTCAGCGTGCGTAGATGAGACAATTCCGGTGGCAAGGTACCACCCAAACTGTTGTTTCTGACTTCCAGCTCAACAAGAAATGAGAGGTTGCCTAGGTGGGGAGGAATGGTGCCGGTGAGACCCATGTAGGAGAGATTCAAGGCTGTGACTCTATGGTGGCGTACACCGCAAGAAACGCCAACCCAGTTGCAAATGTCGTAATTGGAGGTAGACCAGTTGGCGGTCAAGTTGTTTTGAGGGTCACTAATGATATGGGATTTGAAAGCAAGAAGAGCAGACTGGTCTGTGCTGATGTTGGTTTGTGCTGCTACTGAACCTATCGTTAAGATAGGTATGAATATAGAACAGTATTGGAATAGCAGCAGCAACAAAGTTGTCGACGAGAGGAATCGAGTTATGGCCATCGTGTGCACCTTATAATTTACTTGTGAATATATTACAATATATATAGGTGCCTCTGACCTATTACTAGTTTAATGCATCTCGTACGTTCAAATAGCGGCCCACTGAATCGTCATCGAGCAGATCATAGGTAGAGATTTAACTAGAGGTTCTAAAAGGCGACAGACACTAGTTGGGCAATGGACATGAGTAATCTAGCTTTTAGGTGCTTAGGCTATATTTTTTTATTTTCATTGAATTCATTATATAACATATAGATAAGTGTCTCTTTATACTTAAAAAATACGTAATTGTATTGAGATATATAAATTGCAAAATAAAACAATATAGTAGTCAAACATATTGAAAACATAGAGTAAACGTATAAACATATAATAAGTGTTCCTCCAAATATACAGTAATTCTCTTACAGTTGTATAAGTGAGAGTCACAACCCAAGTCATTTTTTTTTAAGTAAAACCAAATAAAGCAAAAAAAAAAAAGAAAAGAAAAAGGTAACAAAACCGCCCAGCACGCTTAGACTGCTTTGGCGGACTAGGAAGATGTCTATACTAGTCTGGATGGGCTAAGTGGATGCCTAAAGAAGTCTATACATCCTTAAAATTAATCAAAATGTTGGACAGCCACCTATCACGTAGGTGGCCCTAAGTGCAGCCTTATATTACACTAAGGGTACATTTGTTTGCACTCGCTAGTATCCACTAGACTGGAATGGACTAAGTTGCAGTGCAATCTCGCGTTTGTTCCATTTCGAGACAAGCTTTAATGAGACTCGCCCCGATTAAACAAGACTAAGGGCTTCACTAAAGGGGCTTAGCGAGGCCCCCCTGGAATCGGTCGGATTGCTAAGACCAACTCCCTACTTCGCCCCTCTCGAAACCAAGATCCCCTATAGCAACTCTGGCTTGCTTCTCCCCTCTCATCTACCATTTACAAACCTAAATCCCTCAAAAATCAAAACAAAAAAAGGCAAAAAATTCTACATTTTTTCCATTCTCATAGCCAAATCCAAACCCAAACCCAAAATTCGAAACAAAAAAGTAAAAAGAAAATTACAAAATCGTTGTGCGTTTCATTACGCACAGCAGTTGTCCAATCACACATGCACAACAGTCGTTCTAATCACACATGCACTCCAGACTCCCTGATCGCAGACCTTCACCGTTGATGCCAAAGAAGCGGACCGATGAATACCAAGATGACCCAGACTCTAATCTGGGTTCTGATCTGGGTTCTGATTTGCCAATTAAGTCCTAGAAAATTAGAAAAAAAAGGAGATGATCAAAGAAAAATAGGAAGAAAATGATGGAGATGAAGAGGGAGAGGGACGAAGAAGACAAGGGATTCGAACGAAGAAAAATTTGGAAGAAAAAGAGGGAGGGGAGAGAAAAAGAGGGCGAGGAAAGAGCAAAATTATGAATGATGAGGGAGATGAAAAGTAGGAAGGGACTAGAGAGGTTTCTAGAATGGAAAAAAAGGGATAAAAGTAAGAATTAAATAATAATTATTATTAATTAAATAATATAATATTAGATTTTATTATTATTTTGTTTTTTAATTCAAACGCTTCATTAAGTCAATCCAGTTTAGTCTAGTTTACGCCAATCTAGCTTAATTCTTGAAACTAATCAAGTCCGAGATAATCCCCTACAACAAACGCACCCTGATTTGACTATAACAATGCTTCACCCTGTTGCAAGTCCAAATCAAAATGAATACCAATAATTGTGAAATTGGTGAAATAGTGGACAGTGGGCTACACAACTATTTATTTCTTGACCAAAAACCTTATCATGTATAGGTTGAGAAATGGCTTCTCTGCTGTCCCAGTTTCTATGCACTTTCATCTCTTTCTATTTGTGCGGTCACATTAACATTTTATATCATTATTGTTTTTTATCTTATTATCTCTATTAAAAAAATCAATATAAAATATTGACATAATTTAATCATGATCGCATAAATTAAAAGGGAATGAAAATGTATGGGAACTGAAAAGGCAGAGAAGCCGGGTCTTAAGATTGCATGAGCAGCTGCATTATTTGAATTGTACAGCTGCATTATTTGATAGCTCCGAGGCATATGATGATAGGATGACTGTTCGCTTTTCTTACATACTTGGATCATTTTGTTACTTCTTTCGTCCAATTTCTTTGAAATTACATCAAGTAAATTAAAGCACTGGGATTTGTTATTAGTGAGAATTAAGTCATCGAGTGCATTATGATATATTTAGAGTACAAATAACTTCAAAAAAAATAATAAATAAGTGAACAACAATATGTTTGTTTTTTTTTTTTTTTGGGTCAAGGAAGATTTTATTAAAACCAAATATATGGATTACATACAAAAGGTCCACAAATAGAGAAACATAAACAAGCACAAAAAGAGGCAAACCAGACAAAACCAACAAGAGCCCAGCTAAACAGCTAAGGCCCAACAACAAAAAACACAAAACCAAGAAATCTATTGTAGCCACACCTCCACCGGAACAATACATCTCGATTTGCACAAATCTATGTTCATCAACAAGCATCGCCTCACCAAACTCATCATCCAAACCTGAACAGCTTCTCTGAGCATGGCCACAAAGTAGAGATAACCAACTGAAAGTAATCAATCAACTATCAAGATAAAAAAAGCCCATGGAAGACCATGAGCAACAATGCCAGAAACGACAGACAACAAAGAGAAGGTGGTTGTGTTGGGAGCACTCGAATCGGTTGAAGAACCATAACTCTACACACCTTCTAGACTAAAAGTATGGCTGAAAACATATCACATAATAAGGAGATCGAAGCCCAGAACAAGAGGAAGGGATGTCAGAAAGATAAGAAGAGGATGACACATTGAGATGAAAAGGAGGGGAAAACACAGTAGAAAAGACAAAACAAGAAAGGGGAAATTGGCAACCAACTCCAGTTGAAGCTAGAGTTTGCGCCAACTATTTTCAGTAGATTGAAAACAGAAAGAGGGGAAATTTTTTACTATTTTATTTGTCAAAGAAAAATAGAATATATTATAAAGAATTAATTAATCGGTTGGATATTCAGGAGTTAAAACTTGTTAATTTTATAAAAGCATTTTGAATTATTTGATCCATTAAATCTCTAATTTTAATGGATTTTTTTTTTTCATTTTCAACAATTCATGAAAGAATGAATCGAGGAAAAACTTTTGAATACACCGGCTACAAGAAAATACCTCATGATGGTCAATGTGGGCCCCTGCCACCCATCAATGCATGATGTTCTTTAACTCATCATTTCTCTAGATGATGAAGCTGTTATTGACAGTGAACCAATATTAGATTATTTACATCGTGAAATGAAAAAAATTACGAAAAATCGAACAATTATATAGTATAGAGAGAGTCACTCATGAAAGGAGAGAAGGGCCTGCAAGCTGCCCGATATATAAACAACAATAGTAAAATTATCATTTATTTTATGGATTATTTTAATTAAAATGAAAGGTCATTTACCTTTATCTTCAATATACTTTGAATATAGTAAGTTATCAATTTCGATTTCGAGACCAAAAATGTCTTGTGATACTGTTTGGGGATTTGATAAGCTAATTCAAGTGATGTCTATTTGTTGGGCCGAGCGACTAATTCAGTTATTAGTGTATTGATATTTTTCTTCTCAACGTTACAATATGTCCCTAGTTAAAATCACCCCTCAATTGCTAAAAAGTGCATATTATCATTAGATAGTTAGTAGCCAACAATGCATACCAACAAGTGGCTCAGTAGAAAAGTGCAGACAGTAACTCCCTAAAAAAAATAATGAGAGGTCATGATTTCGATACTTTGTAAGTTGTGAAGTTGCTTGATCATGACCATGGTAGGTGCAATTCTTAACTACCCTCCGTTAAACACGAAAGAGATGGATAATTGTGATTCGTCATTGGTGTTCCTTTTTTGAAGGAAGAAGGAAAAAATAACAACGCCGACCGACATGTTCCACATGGGCAGAGTTGATCTGAGAAGGCCTTAAATTAGTCTTTAGCATTAATACCGTTTGACAAAATTGGGAAAGCTCAAATTAGTCTTTAGCATTAATACCGTTTGACAAAATTGGAAAAGCAGAAAAGTTAAATGACACTGGCAGTAGTCAGGGTGGTCATCAATGAAAATAAACATCATATGAGCTGCAAATATAAACATCAATGAAAATAAACATGAACTAATCGGTCTCGATCTGACTTTTCCATTTGCTTCAGTCCTACATATTTCTCACATATGTCCGATTCTGCAACCATCTCTTCCACCCGCGTTTTGCGGTTTGCTAGGAAGGTGTGCAGAGCTTGGGCCCATATGGTGTCCACACCACCGCCTTTCAATTGTATGCCGTTTTCGGCTTTGTTGCTGGGGGAAAGTTCTTTCCCTCTGGGATGCTGGATCGGCGGCCGGTTCTTGGTTAAGTAGTAGTTATTTGATAATCATTTTGTATATATCCTTGGTTATTAGTTCATCATATGTATTTGTTTTTGTCCTCATACGTAATAATCTTACGCACGTCTCTGTGTCTATTCTAGTGCATAATGAAGAGTTGCAAAGAGCAGAAGCTGCAGAAGTCAATGAAGAGGAGAATTATGGATTCCCTCCACACAAGCCAATCGTCAAGAAGCCCCCTCCACCTCAGATCTATCCTCCAAAGCGCCTTTTCATGCCACGCCCTCCCTACAGAAGGGGTCCTCCACCGGTTGCGGTTGTGGAAGAAAAGCCATTTGTGAAGAAGCCAATTTTCCATCCACTTCCAAAATTCAAGAAGCCATTTCCTCCGCATCCATTCCTTGGGAAGCCGTTACATCCCACTGTTCCCTAAACTGGACTACATGGAGAGAGAAATGAAGCCTCTATTAGATGAGGCCAGATCAGCATATCCATCAGCACTGTACCAGCTAGCCGTGTCAAATAATGCTCCCAGAATATCCATTCGCTTCAAGCTTTTCGATACTTCATTTAGTAGCTCGCCGTGTTAAACTTTAGGATTTAATGTTATGCAATGCTCCAAGTTTTGTTAGCAGATGATGGCAGTTTACATTACTCAAATTGATTAGGAAAGAGTTGAGATAATCCTATATGTGTAATCCAAGTAAAATGTGTTTGCAAATTAATGAAGTAGGTCATGACTGCGCACATTGACATGCGAAGAGAAGAGTTGGAATGATCTTACTGTAGAGAAGCAGCCATGCAAATCACCAATGCATACATGATTGTCCCCAGTCTCTCCAAGAAAAGCCAACCACACAGTATAATGGTATTTAAAAGAAAAAAAACACAAAAATGCAAGAAGATTATGGAACTTGTGGCTTGGAAAGGAGATGCACAGTACAATGGATTTTTTTTTTCTTTTCGTTTTCAACAATTCATGAAAGAATGAATCAAGAAAAAACTTATGAATATACCGGCTACAAGAAAATACCTCATGATGGTTAATATGGGGCCCTGCCATCCATCAATGCATGATATTCTTTAACTCATCATTTCTCATGGTGAAGATGTTATTGCCAATGAGCCAATATTGGATTATTTACACCAAGAAATGGAAAAAAAATTACGAAAAATCGAAAAATTATACAATATAGAGAGAGTCTCTCATGAGAGGAGAGAAGGGCCCCATATAATCTCTTTCTATACCTAATTTACTCTTTACACACATTTTATTTTTAAATAAACTATCAATATCTTTTTGAACCCAAATTTATTGTCTAACCTACCCTCACAAACCCAATCCATATGTAAAATTTGTCTCAACACCCATTTAGAAAATAAATAAATAAAAAAACCAATTTCTTTGGCTCTTCAGTGACTCTAGTCACTGCTGTAGACTTTCCAGGCTTCTCAATTGCGCGAACATACTTGAGAATCGATGGCTTGGCGAGCCTCCACTCCCACCCCGGCATCCGAACTATTCTTTTTGAGCAAATGAATTGTGCTTGTTGGGTTTATTGACACCCAAAACCAGCCATTCCAAAAGGTTCTTATAGCAGCAGCTGTTTTTGTTTTCCCAAAGGGTTGGCTTCATTTTTATCAGAATGCCGGGTACGATTTCACCACTGTTTTCTCAGTTTTAAATAGCTAGAATCGAAAGATTGTGGAATTTCTGATGCCATGTTTCAGTCTGATATAGATATGATTGGCAGGATGACAAAGGGGTTTCTCACTCATGACATTGGCAATCTCACTCTTAACAAGCAGCAATTTAGAAAGTTAAATCATATTATTTGAAGATAATTAAATGGTTCTGAGTGCATGATCTAGTAGTTAATTGCATACGAGTGTTTGAAGTGCATGTGGCATTAATCTCATGAGTTTGTGGTTTGAGATTAAAAATTATCATATGCTAAGCTATTGTTATTTATGGGGAGGAGTTTGGACTTGAGTATAAGAGCAAGTCCACCGTTATGGACTGGTCGGGGGACAGTGGACCAAACAGGGCTCAATAGCCCGACTGCAAGCCTCCAGCGTTGGGAGCCCAAGGGACTGGGCAGGCCCGAACAACAAACCCGTGAGGAATCGCCAGCCCACGAGCCGGAGGCACACCTGACGTAGGACTGACATCAGGCTGGCGTCAGTCCATTTTTAAATTTTTTTTTGTCTGGCCCATGCACCTCATCCGCGCGTGGGGGCGCGTCAGTAGACAAGTTTCAGACTACAGGGGCCTGCGAAGCAGTCGGCCTCAGTTACCATTGGGAAGCCACGGCTTCCCACAGTGTGTTCGATCTCAACGGCTCTTTAACTTGGATCGTTAGATCTCAACGGTAAAAAAAATAAAAAAAAAGCTTATTTAATATCAACCATTAGATCTAAGATCAACGGTCGATATTAAATAGGCTTTATAAATAAATAAATAAAAGAAAAAATAGTTTTAAAATTAAGAAAAGTTACCGTTGTGACATGTGGCACAATCTGGAGTGTTGGAATTCAAATTTTTTTATATCCAACGGTAGAGATTAATTAGTTGAATAAAAATTTTAAAAAAAAATGTAAAAAAAACCTTACACCACAATTTCATATTTTAAGAATACATTGTAAAGAAAGAAGCAGAAATTATGAATAATGATAGAGATTTTTGTAAAGAAGGAAGCAGAAACTATGAATAATGATAAAGATCTTGAGAAAATTGGTGTGAGATTTGTGAGGATGGATGGTGGATTATATGGAGGATTCAGAAATGATTAGGTTGTAGATAATGCCACGTGACATGCCGTCATTCGTTAAAAATCTGATGGAAATCCATCCTCAAAGATTGTCAACAGATTATGACACGTGGTGCGATGTGATTGGTTTGTAATCTTATCAGAAATCCATCACCAATAATTGTATTTTCGGATAATGACATATGGTGTAACGACTACGATTAAAAATCTTATCGGAAATTCATCCCCAATAATTGTCTTTTCAGATTTTATGACAAGTGGCGCAACGAGAACGATTAAAAATCTTATCCGAAATTACAAATAAAATTATTTTGTATTATTTAATAATTTTTCGGATAATGACAGGTGGCACAATGAGAACAATTAAAACTCTTATCCGAAATTACAATTAAAATTATTTTATAAATAAAAAAATACTAATATTTTATTGCCTATTGCCAGAGCTATTGAAGTGCAACGGTGGAGATGCAAAAGGCGATTACTCTTTATTAAGGGCAGCTACTCTTTACCGCGTGATTCGAGTATAAGGGGATAGGTTTTGTCTTGACCAACATTCCATACTCATTTCCTCCTTCATTAAGCATATTAAAGAACATAGGATATACAACAATTGCGTGATTCGAGTTTGATGGTAAGATAAAGATTGCGTGATGATAGGTGTAGAGTTAGGTTGTATGATTTCAAATAAAATTTATCTTCTATTTATAGGGAAGTGATCATTCTTTTTAAGGTTTTTATTTGCTCTCTTTATTTATGACCAATCAAATGAATAAATCAAATAAAATTAACGATCACTTAAAAGACCTTCCTAACACGAGATCAAAATTTTTACACCCAAAATCCTATGTAGCATCTATGTGACCTATACACATAGCAAATATTTAAAACGCACTTAATAATATTAACTCTTTAACTTATCAATTTAATAAAAAAATAAAAATTAAAGATAAATCAAGTCAATAAGTCATGCGTCTCTTAACTAGAAAAGGTACAGAGGCTACAGAAAGTTTTGGCCGCAGAAGATTTGAACTCTTCAAATTGGACCCGGCAAAGAAAAGGCACGGTAGAGGAAATGAAAAGGGCCGCCGCACCACCAGCAGCAGCCGCCGCGGAGGACTCTTCCTCCATGTCATGCAAAGACGTTCCCAATCTCCTCTCCTCTTTCGTTGACACGTTCGTCGACTTCTCCGTCAGCGGCGGCCTCTTCCTCTTACCGCAAACCCCCAATCATCCACTTCCCGCCTCCCCTCAAAATCACCAGAATGCCCTCCCTGCCCGCCACAGCTCCGACGATCCCCTGCCCTCTCGCCCACCGCTGCAAACCTATTACCCCCCGCAGGACCGTTTGGTCGCAATCGGCGATCTCCACGGCGACTTGGAGAAGACCAAGGAATCGCTCAGGCTTGCTAAATTGATCGACCCGGAGTCGGGTAAATGGGTCGGAGGGTCCACCACCGTGGTCCAGATTGGCGACGTGATGGACCGGGGCGGCGACGAGATTAAAATCCTCTATTATCTCGAGAAATTGAAACGAGAAGCCGCCAGATGCGGCGGCACGGTTATTACGATGCACGGCAACCACGAGATCATGAACGTGGAAGGAGATTTCAGGTTTGTGACCCGCAAGGGTTTGGATGAGTTTAGAGTTTGGGCTGATTGGTATTCCATTGGGAACCGAATGAAGTCTTTCTGTAAAGGCTTAGAAAAGCCGAAGGATCCCTTTGATGGGGTGCCCTTAGGGTTTAAGAATGTGAAGGAAGAGTTTGCTGATGGGATTAGGGCAAGAATTGCAGCATTGAGGCCATCCGGTCCAATTTCGTCGCGGTTCTTGTCCGATAACGTGGCTGTGTTGGTTGTGGGGGACTCTGTTTTCGTCCACGGCGGGCTTTTGAGCCAGCACGTATCATATGGTTTGGAGAAGATCAATGAGGAGGTGAGGGATTGGATTCATGGGTCGAAGGGAAGAATCGCGCCCGAGTTTTGTCATGGTGCGAATGGTGTGGTTTGGCTAAGGAAGTTTTCGCGTGGATTGGAGGATCAGTGTGATTGTTCAGCACTTGAACATGTTTTAGCTACCATTCCCGGCGCAAAGAGGATGATTATGGGTCATACCATTCAAGAGTTTGGGATTAATGGCATTTGCAACGAGAGAGCAATTCGGATTGATGTAGGGATGTCCAAGGGGTGTATTAATGGCTTGCCCGAAGTTTTGGAGATCAAAGGGAATTCGAGTTTGAGGATCTTGACGTCGAATCCACTGTACAAGAACAAGGAAAAATCTACTGTGTATAATGAGTGGCCTGCATTTTTGACGCAAGGACCAAAACAAGTGGAAGTGAAGGCTTAACTGTTTCGGTATTTTTCAATTTGTTTTTTTAGCTGTTTTGTTTCTTCAGTGTGAAACATTAGTACCTTACATCGAAAATGTTGTGCATAAAGTACAAACTTAAGCCCACAGTATAGGAGATAATGTTCTCTAGCTGAACTGTGGAGATGCATAAAAGTTTAGTTTTGTGATGTTTTCCATGTTTCTACTGTTTGTCAAACTCCTGGTGTTGCTTGTGCTATTGTATCCTTCTTGGCTGTCATTTTATCCCCAACATGTTACCTATAGGCTTTTTTTTTATGCGTTGTTGATCAGTCGTATCCCGACTTAAGCTTATCTGCTGGAGGATAAGGCATTGTATCCATAATTTGCTTCCATAATGATTCTAATGGTTATCTTTACTGGAAGGATTTTACTTGAATGCTCTTTTCAGTTGGTTTTGTTCACAACTTTGCTGTAATATTGATGTTGGTAAAACAAGGGATATTATTAAGGTCTGATGGCCATGAGAGGAGTATATACGACTGATGAGGGTCAAGTATTTGGAATCTTAAGAAAGGACAATAATTTCGTATTATGAAAGGTTTTGGCCGTTAGTTTTGGCCGTGATCCTAATTGAATGGTTGTTTTGGACAAGTAACGTATTCCCTGGATTTTGCACAATAGTTTGAAGGAATAACTTTGGTGGCCCAAGTTTTAAAAATAATGGATCTGGATACAGTTATTGTGTTTGAGTTCCATTTTATAAGCAGCTTCAAGAGACCCTATCTTGAAATAGAAAATTTTCAAGAGCATGCTTTATTGCAGTTTCTCTTGAACTGGATTTAGAAACTGAAATCAAGGGCATCATTTCTCTGTGATTCAGCTTACTAATTATGTCCTCTATTGAAACTTGAAAGTTAGTTTAAGCAAAAGTGATTTGTCTAACAATGCAAGTAACGGGTTCGGGTTTGCTTGCAGTTATTCAGCTGCCACTATCCCTCTTAGCCTTCTTTGTTTCAAAACTGCCTCAACCTCAAGCTCGCCTGCAAGCTCCTGCTCACCAGGTATTAAAAAGTAATTAAGGAAATTTTAGAACTAATGAATGTGACAGTACCTGGAATTGAGTCATTCAAATTTAAGTAATGCCTGTTAAAGCTGAAACATACATGAATTTGGTATTTAACCCCAGATAGTGCTTAAATTGTCGATTTACCCCAAAAGCCCATGATGTCTCATTGTGTAACAAATAGCTCCACCCAATTTGTTTCATCTGTGCCTTCAAATCTGTGTGTCGTTCATTTCCTGCATATCTTTCATTTAAAAGTTCATAATTCGAAGGTTACATAATGATTTTGATTTGTCACATAATTTGGAAGGTCTTGAGATTAGTGTCCTTTGTAATATCAAATGTAAAGGTATCCCATAGTTTACTTGAACAGTAAGATACCATTGTTGAAAGTGATAACTAAATAGATGGACACCGACATCTGAAATTAGAGCCAAACTGAAAGAAAGAGTGCTAACTAAGCAATATGATGTCCGAAAGTAAATTCCATTTCTTATACTTTTCCATTCTTTTCAAAATGACTTTCAGCGTCTTGTTTCCCATACAGTGTAACTTGGATTACTCCTTGTTCGTATATATAGGTATATTTATATAATTTTGTAATTGTTATGAAAAGGTCATATCATTTGAGCTTATGAAATTGAGCTCAAGAAGACCTCCAACAGTTAATTGTAATTTGTAGGTAACATAGACATGTCTGAATTACAGTTCCATTAAATAAAAGCCTGCCTTTGATTTAGTTTAGTTACAATGCACTCAAATGGGTTTACTCAAATAGGTGGATTAACGTTGGATTAATAGAACATTGTTCACCTCAACATTTTTAGTATTTTTGCTTTTTCCGTCGGATCAGTGTTGCCCCATCCTTTATGGCTTCAATTATAATTGCTTGGAACAGCTCACTCAAACGCATGGTCGGAACATTCTTGCTAATGGATAGAAGGGGTTAAGTAAATCATGCGAAATGACTATCCGAACTTGCTTTTTCTCTATTATGATTGAAGTGCATTCTGTGCTTTAAATATTGATCAATACATTTCAGATTGTCAACCGTTTGTTGGTAAAAATATTGCCTTTGGTTGATTGAACCTGCACTCGTAGCATGAGTGTTACCATAGTCATGCTTCAGTCGTCACCTGGTCGGACATGCGGTTTGCTGACGGTCATCTGCAAGTCCATACATTCAGTTGTCACTTATATTTACATCTATTATTAAGGAACATTGTAACCATTTCACATTTTCCTCTTTCTTATAGATGGCTAACAAGTGTACGTGATCAGACGAAGACGAGCAATTCTGGCCTTCCTGAAGGGAGTAGTTCCAAATGTCCAAGGCCAATGTTACCTGATACGCATTGTTTGACATAAAAAAGAAACTGATATCCGATGCAGTAGCTTCGTTTGATATTGGATGAAGTGCATGGAAGGTACGATAACTTGTTTACCTTCATTACTTCCTGAGGCTACAGTCTTATAATGGATTGGATTGACATATTCAAGCGTTTGATATGTTCAAATTGTTGAAAATGTCGACGCTGAAATATTTGGTCGATTCTGAAAAGCATAGGTGCTGAATTACAGAACTTGTAGGGAAGGGCACAATGTGATTTAATGGAGAATAAGATGATCAATGAACTTGATAGCGAAGCATTGATCGTCCGATCTTTCTAGCTGCCCTACAATAATAGCGGACTGTTAGCGTACAACTCTGAACTTAAGACGCTCGCGCGTCTAGATTACATTCCGTAGCTATCGGCATACAGTTCTATTGCTGTAGAGAGAAGAGGTAGAGGTCAGTATTTGAAGTCCAAGTTTTGTAACTTCCGGTGACAGAGATATGTTTCTGTCCCACCATCCTCTCACTCTCACCACCCAAACCCCTGCACCTGCAGTCTGCACCTCACCTCCCCAGGAAGATCAAATCTCAAGATGAAACTTAATTGCTCAGCTTCTAAACTCACCACCATATATGTGAATAAAATCCACCTCGAAGCCATACACGATTTCATCTTATGAAACAAGAAGATTTCATTTTATGATACATTTCAATCGGCCCACAAATGGTAGGATTAAAATAGATAAGATGGTACGATTATAAGGGATAAAATACTGTTTTATGCAATCCCCTGAAAAGTCATTTACCTTTATCTTCAACTAGTTTTCATGCATGCGCTTACATTCATGTAGAAGGTATCTTTTGAACTACGGCGTGCTATGGTCAACTTACACGTTTTAAATGTATTTATATGCGTTAATTGCTTTAATACTTTTTTTTATGACAAAAAGAAAGTTAAATATTTGAAGTAAATGAATAGCATTCAACCATGCTAGAAGAAACCTCTTATAAACCAATCAAAGCAGTTGAATTTATATAATAAAATTGGTCTTTCAATTTTCATCTACGTTCTATTGAATTTACATTAGGAATAGAGAAAATAATATTTAATAAACAATTAATTGAATTATATTATTGCTTATCCATTGTGAGGTTAAGCCTACCCCCTCATCCTTAGTGTAGATAATATCGTTTGTTCGAAAGAAAAAAAACACATTTATTTGATAAATAATCAAATCACATTATTATGCGCGTGTGAAAGACCTTTATTATAACCGGCAGTACGTGCATCTTAAGATGTTTTGAACGTTTTTAAAAGTAGAGAAAATAATAATTAATAAACAAATGATTGAATTATATTATTGCTAACCCATTGTGAGGCTAAACTCTTCCCCTCCTCCTTAGTGTAGATAATATCGTTTGTTCGAAGAAAAAAAAAATCATTTGACAACTAATTAAATCACATTATGATGCGCGTGTGAAAGATTTTTTTTTTACAACCGGCACTACGTGCCTCTTAATATGTTTTGAACGTGTTTAAAAAATAAAGGAAATAATATTTAATAAACAACTGATTGAATCATAATATTGCTAGCCTATTGTAAGATTAAGCCTGCCCCTTTCCTTTTAGTGTGGAAACTATCGTTTGTTCAAAAAAAAAAAAAATTATTTGACAACTAATTGAATTACATTATTATGTGCGTACGAAAGACCTTTTTAAGCCTGCCCCCTTCCTTTTGAGATGTACCAATTATATAACATTAAAAAAAAAAAAACCAAAAAAAATGTATGAAAAGAATTAATTATTAAAAAAATATTATTTATATGATGAAGTACCCCTACATTATTTTGGATTGATTTTGTTCTTTTTTGTTTGGGGCTATTTTTGTCCACTTATTTTTTGTGAAGCTTGTGACCCAAAAAACACTGTTCACAGCATTACGCGCCTCTTAAGATGATCTAAACGTGTTTAAAAATAGAGAAAATAATATTTAATAAATAACTGACCGAATCACATTATTGTTAGGTTATTGAGAGGTACTAATTATAAAAAATAAAAAAAAAAGTACCAAAAAAACTGTACAAAAATAATTATTATTAAAAAAATACTATTTATATGACAAAACTACCCTTGCATTATTTGGTGCATTATTTTTAAAGAAAAACTAATGAAAATAGCTTGAAAACTTTGAGTTTTAATGATAATTAAAGGGTAAAGTGAATAGTATTAGGATTGATTTTTTAGTGTAAAAATATAATTTTTCGTTAAATTGAACAGTACCTTGGACTTCGTTAAAATCCTATTTTTAATTGCTTTTAAACTTTTTTGTTTGGGGAGTATTTTTGTCCACTAATTTTTTGTGAAGCTTGTGACCTAAAAAACACTGTTCATAGCAGTGTTGGCTGTATACATAGAGAAATACTTTGAATATCGTAAGTTATCAATTTTGATTTCGATACCAAAGATGTCTTGTGGTACTGTTTGGGGATTTGATAAGCTAATTCAAGTGATGTCCATTGGTTGGGCTGAGGGACTAATTCAGTCATTAGCGTGTTGATATTTTTCTTCTCAACATTACACTATCCCAAGTTAAAATCAACTGTAAGAGAATTGTTAATAGCACTTCAAAAATCACATTCTATGTTCCAAAATAAACATCATCTGGGCTTTGTCTTACTCAGCATTAATTCCGTCTGACAAAGTTGGACAAGCAGAAAAGCTCAATGACAGTGGCAGTAGTGGTCAGAAAGCTAAATGACACTGGTAGTAGTTAGGGTAGTCATTAATGAAAATAAACATCATCCGAGCTGCAAAGCCAGTGAGCAGGAAACTTTTTTAGTGGATTTGAAACGCGAGTTGACATAACACGTGTCACAGTATAAGTAGAAAAATACCAAAATATTTATTTGTCTCTACTTATATTATAATATACAATGTACTAACTTGTGTTTCATGTATATAGAAAAATCTCTCGTAAGAATGTTGCACCATTATACAGTACAGATACCGTTTTCCAATCTCAATGGAGCTCCATGTCAAACCCTCAATTAATTAATTAAGGCCTAAGCCTCCTAAACAGCTCATCGCACTTGCTATAAATACAAGGCCTGTGGAACTGATAATAAGCACCAAAACCAAATGGTACGTTTGGACTAAGCACTTTTGCACTGTTAGTATATCCGGTGGTAGCATTTGAAAGGCTTAATTCTCAATGCAGTTTCGTATTGCTTTTCAAGGGGCTTTTCTGGGTCTCTGGTTCTGCTTCTTTGCTGCAAGCTTCTGCTATAGCAACGGAGAGACCATTGAGGTAACTGGTGAACAAGCAGCAGCCAAATCTTTTTCAGGTAATTTATATACTTACATAGTTTCCTTTTAAGTACCAAAGTATTTCAAAGAAACTCTAATATGACAACCATTTATTGAGTGGTTAAATGGTGTTGGATTTGCATGGTTTTTTGCAACGTTGATTTTTGAGAAAAGATCTAAATGCTAAACGGTTCATAATATTGAAATACATTGTTGAATGGGCCCTCAATTGAACCTCCTATACATGCATGCATATGATAAAACAATTTCAAAACTAATCTTAGTTTCCTTTTAGACTCATATGTAATCAGAAATTAGTCTAATGTGTGATTAAGCAGAAGTTATTTAATAATCATTTTGTTTATAGTCTTGGTTATTAGTAAATTGCATGTTTGTTTTTGTCCTCATACGTAATAATCTTATGCATGTCTCTGTGTCTATACTATGTGCCTAATGAAGAGTTGCAAAGAGCAGAAGCTGCAGAAGTCAACGAAGAAGAGAAATTTATATTGCCTCCACACAAGCCAATATTCCCCAAGAAGCGGCCTCCACCTAAGGTCAGTCCACCAAGGCCCTTTTTCAGGCCACCCCTTCCACCAGTTCCAGCCTACAAAATGCCTCCTTCCTACCAATTGTGTCCTCCCAACAAGACGTGTGGTCCCTACACAACGTGTGCTGATCCTTACCAAAGAAGGTGTCCTCCACCGCCTCCGGTTGTGGAAGAAAAGCCATTTCTGAAGAAGCCAATTTTCCATCCACTACCAAAATTGAAGAAGCCACTTCCTCCACCCGTTCCAGTTTACAAGAAGCCACTTACTCCACCAGTTCCAGTTTACAAGAAGCCGTTTCCCCCTCCCATCTTCAAGAAGCCGATTCCAAAGTTCAAGAAGCCACTTCCTCCACGTCCATTCCTCGGGAAGCCATTGCTTCCCACTGTTCCCTAAACTAGACTAGCTGGTTTTCCTTCCAAATAATAAGAGATGAGTAGCATATAAATACCTATAGAATAAAATCCTACATGGAGAGAGAAATGAGTTTGTTGTTGTAACTTTATTATCTTGAAATTGTGTGTTGTGTTGTTGTACTTGTTTGATTCTGCTGTTATGCAGCTACCTTGTTATACGACCTTTGCATTTATATATTACTGGAAGAAAAAAAAAAAATTTCCTTAACTCCTAAGACTCAACGTCGGCCCTTCAAAAATCCTTAAGATGAGATCATTAGCACATTGATATCGATAAATTTTCAGGCTCAGCATGGTCCACAGCGTCTTACTTAATCACTTATATATTACTAGCCTTTCTGCACATGCTAATGCACGTGAGAAAGACATTTTTTTACATCACAGAGCGCTAAGCGTTGCATGTAGTTAATTTTTTTCTTTTTATATTTGTTCATACATAAAGTGTGACACCCCACATCGTCTAGGGGAGTGATCCATATATGTATATTCCCATCCCTACCTAGCATAAGACCTTTTGGAAGTTCACTGGCTTCGGATTCTGTTGGAACTCCGAAGTTAAGCAAGATGGTGGCTAGAGCAATCCCATGATGGGTGACCCACTGGGAAGTTGCTCGTGAGTTCCTAAAAACAAAACCGTGAGGGAATGGTAAGCCCAAAACGGACAATATCATGATATGGTGGTGGAGCGGGCCCGGGAAGTGATCTGTCCCGGGGCGGGATGTGACAATTTGGTATCAGAGCCTAACCCTAGTCGCGAGTGTCCTGACGAGGACGTCGGGCCCCTAAGGGGGGTGGATTGTGACATCCCACATCGCCCAGGGGAGTGATCCATATATGTATATTCCCATCCCTACCTAGCACGAGGCTTTTTGGGAGCTCACTGGCTTCGGATTTTGTTGGAACTCCGAAGTTAAGCGAGATGGTGGCTAGAGCAATCCCATGATGGGTGACCCACTGGGAAGTTGCTCGTGAGTTCCTAAAAATAAAACCGTGAGGGAATAATAAGCCCAAAGCGGACAATATCGTGCTATGGTGGTGAAGCGGGTCCGGGAAATGATCCGTCCCGAGTCGGGATGTGACATAAAGACATTCTTATAATTACAGCGCGCTATGCGAAACATACAACGTTTAATTTTAATTTGTACATTTGTACCTGTCAAAAGACATTCATTCATTTTAACTTTTTTTGTTAATAATTTGTAGAAAATTTTGCATTGCTAAATTTAAAATAAGATACTGTAAGCCTCTCAACCTGAGAAAAAAAAAACACTCATAAACGAAATGAATGATGTTCCTGATCGATCTCCTACATCACAAATGCCACAAAAAATTGAACTTTATGCCCAAATGATAGCAGACAAATTCATATGTGAATACACAATTTAAATTGTCATCAAACTCAGTAAATAAACCGCACAAAAAGACAACCTCGATATACATAGAGAAAATTAACCCTCTATAAGAAGAAAGATCACAATGAAATTACAAACTTGAAGTCCGAATTGGTCACCCAACATGCATCAACATATCAAATCAAACTAAGAGAATAAAATAAAATTATTTCTTGCATTCCTGAAAACGTAAAGGAAAATCGTATTAGCTGTAAACTAAAAATAACACAATAGAAATGTTAGCTAAAAATGACACTACAAAAAAAATGAGCACTGCACACAAAAAATTATATGTGCCTTTTGAGGCCAAAAAGCACCAACATTTGTGCTCATAGACCAATAGCAACAGTGCAGCAACTAAGTTTGTATCTGTGCCCTCTGGGCGTCACCATTACTTATAGCACACAATATGATGTTTTGTGCCCAAAGCTAAGCACAAATACAACCCTTATTGTGTCTTACCTCTAATAAAGGCTACTAAATGTATGGTGTAAGATGGGCACAATTGCTATTTTAAAGGCTTAGATTGCTGTATAAATGTTAAAGCAAGGGCACAACTTTAAAATTGTGCCACTATTATATTTTAATAAATACAATAAACTCCAGCACAATTAAAAATTTGTGGCATAATTGGATATTTTTATTTAAACATGGAAATCATCAGGTTGCTCATAGAACCTAATTTCCACCTAAATTTAGAAACTTACAAATCATCCATTACAAACTAAACATAAATCAACATTAGCACTAAAATAGTGAAGTTAATATATTACATAACCCATGTTCTCGGCTAAGACCGATTCATGCAACCTAACAATACAACCCATCCAAATGTTAAACCAAAAAATACATGTTATCCTATGCTGGACATACCCGGGATTCTCTATATACAACAAAATATAACATATCCAAGCTTGTATCCCCAAGTCAAACGTACTAATGGTTAAACTAGCAATATATAAACAAAATACACATCTACAATGGCTGCTTGATGACAACTAACCAGTATTCTCACTTTGGCAGTCCTCATGCATCATAGCACTAGAAATTGGAGGTCCACACTGCACATTCTTGTCATTTCCACCTTCGAAACGCGTTGAAATCTCAGCGTGTGAGCTTCCACACCCTTGTTGCTGATATATATATCTTAGAATGACATTCCACCCCCTCCTGCCAATATTCTTTTAGAATGACATTCCTACCCATTTGCAAAACAAATTACAAACAAATCATAAGAGTATCTTCATTCAGAAAACCTGACTTCTAAACATGTCAATGTCCAAAATTCTCCCATTTTCAACATGCATTTTTCAAGAAGAGACATACACTGGCACACATACAATGAAAATCATATGAAACAAAGAGCCAAGAAATCACATAAAAGTATCAATCTTTGAAATTTTATTTTCCTTTCCCCCATCACAGCCAAAAAATAAAGGGTAAGTCTACAAATATCAATTTTCATGCCACAAATTTGTGATACATTACAATCTAAAATCACACACATACATCATGCATATACATACATCAGAGGAAAAAATTAGGATTAGAGTTTGATGGTTCTCACCCAAAATTGGTTGCTATCGAGCACACTCACACCAACGTCAATTAGACCATAGGCTGAAAATATCAACAACAAAAAAACTGAGCATTGTTATCCATCGTAACAAAATCAACTGTGGAGTATTAGACAGTGCAATTACAAAATCGGTATGCGTTCTCAACTACCTTCGTTGTCCTCAGGTCTAAAGACATGGTCAAACTTGAACAACTTTTTCGAGGAATCATAACAAATGACCTGCAGCTCGTTATCTAGGGAGGATTCGAATTCAAAAACGAAACCAGATCCGCTTGAAATTTCAGTTTGATTTAAAGGTATACATCTGCAGAAAACTCGGATGTTGCCCTTAAGCTCAATCACTTCATTGTAAAGTCAAAAAAGGAGAAGAAAAGCGTGAGAGAGAGAGAAAGCAGACCAGCGGACTGAGAAGGGAGGGATAGAGAGGGGGGCTAAACCACATTTAAATACCTGATTCTCTTTACTTAGGAATATGGCATTTTCCATGATCTTCAAACATTTCAAAAGCAGAACCAGGCTCCGCACCATGCCGTTTTCATTTTCCCAAATAGAATGTGAGCTATCTTTTAGCCAACCCTGCATATTAATTTATGGTGCTTAGTAAGCCAATTTCCCCAATAACAATTGAGTACCATATAGACCCCAGGATTCAAATGAAAAAGGTAAGTATATAAATGAAAAAGTTATATTATGTCTAAGAAATTTTGGTTATCATCACTCAATGCGTGTGATATGCACATAATAAGTAAAGAAAACAAATCAATGTGATATTGTTAGCATGCAAAACCACTCATGTTACTCCAAGAAGAAAATCAGGAACTACAACGAACAATAAGGAAGATGACGCTATCCAAAGGCAAATAGATAACTGCCCATTTGTTACCATAAAACAACCAAAGTGTAGTCAGTGTTGCTCATAAACTGAAGAAATATATAGGTTACAGAACAGAAGAACCTTGTGAATCTAGATACAACTAAGGCTGCACACCATCATTTTGGTTCTTTACCATCACATGCATTATTTTTTCACAGAAATTTATTATTTACAGAGTGAACCAAGAAATTATTGTTGAAGTAGCATAGTGAAGTAAATATCTTTCATAACTATTTAAAGCATTACGGTCCCTTGGTATTCTTTTAACATTTAATGAAACACAAAGTGAGATCAAACAAACATACAGGTTCACACCTCCATATTGGAATGGCAATCCATGGTCACCTCAAATACAGCATCAAGACCTCCAAGCTCCCGTAATTTTTCCTTAAAGTTGCCCCCCCTCGACTTCCTTTACTGCACCAGTGGTTTCTGAAAGTACAGGCCAAAAGCTTGACATCCTGACTAAATAATGCATAAAAATATGTATCATGACCAGAAAATCATAAGCTTCAACACAGACTCAGACCTTCAAGAGAGATAGTAGATAAGCAAGCTTTCTCCGTAGTCAGCAAAGCTATCCATTTTGGGCATAACTCTGGATTCTCCATTTCTCCTTTATCCGCACAACTCAGTTCAGTAGCAACAATTCCTAAATTTATTACAAAAAGAATTGCAGAAATTACCCACCTTTGTCGCTCACATCACTGTCCACCTTGCTTGCAATCGTCTCTAGGGTTTTAACCGAAGAAAAAGAGGGATCAAATCAAATCAGAAAATCTCCAAATTCTACATTTTCTTGGACTGGAAAATAAAATTAAAACTATAAGAAGCAGTAATCTTCGAATCCGAACCTCAAATTCAAACTTTTCTTGTAATTCAAAAATTAAAAAAAAAGGGAAATGAAATTGTTTACCTTGAGCATAGAGGGCTTCCTACAACCAATTGTCAAGACTTGTGTTTGATCTACATACATGTCAAGAATAAAGTTTAAAACTTTATCACAAAAATACATAAGCAACCAAGAATTGCAAAAAAAAAATCCATCAATAGAGGAGCAAAACAATAAGTAAAACAACCTTCTAACTTCCTTATCACACAAATACAGAAGCAACAAAGCATGGAGAAACAATCTAGCAACAGAGGGATATTCAAAGGATGTAAAGCAGAAAAGGAACCTCAATTCGATTTGTTGAGAAGAAAACAGCAGCTAAGCGTGAAGAAACACAGAAATGAGCACAGTGCAACCCCCTAAGTAATAAGGACACGAACCTGACTCTAACAGTGTACGAAACAGTGCACTAAACAGACCAATCTTCCAAACGCCCAACTAAACAGCCTATACACATCCATTACAATTTTATTGAAACAAAAAAAATGTCAATCACAGTTTTAACAAAGCAAATGGGAAACCAAACAATAAACAATGATTTCTGAACAGTGTTTTACCTGTTGAATCAGAGGACAAAAATGAAAACCCACTCTCTCCCATACCTCCCTCAGACATCCTCTCCTCACCAACCCCGTGGGGTAACCCGTTAACCCCAAAAAATGCACGGCATGCTCTCTCTCTCTCTCTCTCTCTCTCTCTCTCCATCGTCTCTCAAAAAGTGGGAAAAAAATCTCTAAATATCTCTCCCACTCAGTTGAAACCATGTTTCTCTCTCTCTCTCTCTCTCTCTCCATCCTTGTCTAAAAAATTCAACAAAATCCCTAAATCTCTCTCCCACCCAGTCGAAACCCCTAGCTCCCATCTCTCTTCAACCTGTCAGTCCCTCTGTACCCCTCCTCTCCTCCCCCAACGACCCTCTGACGGATGCATCACCTACAGCCACACCCACCAGCCCCCGAGCCAAAATTCCCGGTGATCCTTTCCCTCCAACACGTCAACCCTCCCGTCCATTTTCCGTCTCTCTCCCCGAACGGTTAGGGTTTGGTCCAAAGTAACAAAAATCGAAAATAAAAACTCAAATACAACTATTATAAAATCTACCTGAGTTCGATAAAATTTGTTTCACCACGATTTGAAGACAGGCCGCTCCCACACATCGTGGGCAGGAGGAAAATTCGATATGGGTTTGTGTGGAGGTGCATCGATGATTGTTCGACGGATTTAACTTAGATGATGAAGAGGAATGGGGTGAGCAGCGCTAGGGCTAGGTTGAGAGAAATGGAGAGAGAAGTCTCTCGAATTTGAGAGAAATGAGAGAGAAACGGTGCTAGGGTTACAGAGTGAGAAAAGGGAAGAACGGGGGATTTGATGGATGGTTATCGAGAGAGTAGGGAGAGATAAAGAGGGAAAGAAAAGGCAGTGGCAATTTTGTAAATAAAGTGAAATTCGGCTCAATCCTACGGACACAATTACCCCTAACTTTTGGGAATTACCTTCCCAACCCAGCCCAGATCTGATGGTTTTTGTTGTAAATAGCATGAAATCGAGGGGCAAACAATTGACTGTAGCCCAATGAACAGTCAATTGCTCCCTAGTTTTAGAATAGATAATGTCTCATAACCTTTGTGTTGCCACGCTGTGAATTCACTGAATTCTACGGTATGAAGCAGACGAGAAACATAATTATAACCTAAAAAAATATATACTAGGAGTAAATCTACAAGGGCTAATTAGAAAGAAAACATTATTATATTGGAATACGACATAAGTTGATAAAAGGACCCAAGAGGAGTCCAGCATAGCATAAGATAGTTATATTTTCATAGTACACCAGTGAAATATAACATAATACAAAATATATTAATTGTCCTCGTCATCGCTGCTTAAAATCTCAACGGTAACATTCTGCATATTTCGTGAGCTCAACTGTGGGACAGACAGACCTCTAGGACGAATTTGTGCTTGATAAGTGCGTGGTTCTTCAATAATAACGACAGAATTGGTAGACTGTTCAGTTGTTGTTTCAGTAGAAACCAAATTGACAGGATATTGTTCTGTCCTACCTGGGTTTGCCCATGCTGGCAATACACGTCCTTGAGGTGCGCGTACGCATCTGTTATTGAAGGGTAATGCGTAGCCAAGGCGACCATCAACAAAAGTAGTAAGAATGTACTGATTATTAAAAGGACGAGGCATGCGCCCGGCATTAACAGGTTGTCGTGGACGTTGAACTGGAGGATTCGTTGTGGAATTTTCTGTTGTAATGTTGGAAGCAATATACGAATGTGATGCTGGAGATTCAGTTCCAATTCTAACTCCACGACGTCGCCTGTCCGCCATTGTCAATGATGTAGAACTTGCTCAAATTCAAAAGAAACATATGTGTATGAAGCAACCTTCTTAATTTCCATATACAAATTAGTAAGGGAGTGTGTGGACGTTTTGTAGTAGAATAAAGGCACAAATCCATAATTGTGCCAACATATTCTTTTGCTATAGAGTATTTATTATTTATTAATATTTACTGGACACAATTTCTAACATTTGTGTCAGAAAAGAGGAATTTATAATTATTAAAATATATTCTCTATTTGAAGACCTAATGAGAAGTAGAGTGATTTATTATTTATTAATATTTAGTGGACACAATTTCTATCATTAATGTCATAAAAAGGAATCTACAATTATTAACTCATTTGTCTATCTGAAGACCAACTAACTTTTGCACAGAGACCAACCCTAAGGGCACAATTGTTGGTTATGTGTCACTGCAGGTAGGACTTTAAAACCAAAAACCATATCACCAAGTATAAAAAACAAACCTGCAAGAAGATAACAATCCAAAAAGCAATTCAAAAAGATACGAATCTAACAAACATTCATTGCACCTGGAAATGATCCTTTGTAAATCTAAAACATGCCACTTAGTACTATGGTGTAGTGGTATTCTTCTTTACTTGTAAGTGAGAGATCTGAGGTTCAGCTTTCGGGAAAAACAAATTTGAACAACATTATTGCTAACTTATTTTGAGGCTAAAATATTGCACGGTAATAAACAGCTTCATACCATTATTTACCACAATTTTATAAATTTTAATTATTGGTGTGCTAGTGGAGGTAAAGACAAACGAGAGAGAACATATAGTGCCTTTGACAAATAATTTTTATAGACACAAAATATTTTTTGTGCCCATTTTCAGTAAAAAAGTTGTCATGTGATCCCACTCGACACGATTTCCGTGCCCATTACTGTTTTGTGTCTGCTTTTTTTAACATTGGGCACAATAGATGGTGCCCTCTATGGAATGGGAATTGTTTAAGCTTTTTGGTGGTCAAACTGACACAAAATTCTCAATTGTGCCCTTTATTTTGTACCCAAAGCTCATTTTTCTTGTAGTGTGAGAACCTTAATTGTTGCTAAGACGACTTTTTCTCTCGATGTCCAAGTATTATGCTTAATTTTGCCAAAGAAACACAAAATGTTGCAGAGAGAATGAATGTCAAGGGAAAATTAAACCGGTTAGAAAACATAAAAATGAAGTCAACCTTATGATGGAGATATAAAATAGAGAGGAAAAAAAAATCTTAACAGAACCATGAATACGAATGAGAAACACAAAGTTGTCAAAAAGAAAGCCTATTATAGCATGTCAAGACACTTATAGCATCTTTTTTACGGTATTATCCTTTTCAATTCATTAAACAAATTTTCGTTTGGAAAAGCTTTGCTATGATTCTCATATTATAACATGAATTCATGGTTCAACAAATTTGTTTAATAAAAAAAATTAAAACAGAATTAAAATTTAGCAAGAAACGTACTAATCCAAATGAAAGCAAAACTTTGATAAACAAAGTAAGACAAACATAAAGAACATACCCGGTTGAATCCTCTAGCTAAACTTTGATAAGTCGAATGATTTTCGTTTTGGTTTTACAATCTGTACAAAAAAACTTTCAATCATGCAACTAAAGAAAACAAATACCAAAAAGTAGAATTCCAAAACAATTAACTTAAGTCCCTCAAACACAAAAAGAAATGATTAACTCAAAAGAGAAACAAATGGAATTAGTAAAAAAACAAAGACATCGTTTATCCACAATTCATCCATTCAAGGGCCGGTAACTCCCAAAGGTAGGGTTCTGGCTTTCTGCCTGCGCTTTCCCTCATGTGAGATGACTTTGTTTTATCATAGTGCGCTACGCGCGAATTTAAAAACTTTTGTGACTACAATATATCATTTTATTTATTCTATGACTTTATATTAGAAGTAATAGTCAGAATTAATTGGCTCTACTTACCTCGCTGAAAGCTTTGCACGATAAGTAATAGTATTTTTTCAAACACTCTTCGACTATCGTAATTTGCCTCCTCGTACAGTTGTGGAGTCATGAACGATGATGGCCCTACTTAAATCAAAATGTAGATAAATCTAAACATATATTAACTTCTTTGTAAACCATCATATTTCTCACAAACTAAACACCAACATTTGACAGGGAGGTAAAGATTTTAAAGAGAATTCTAATTGTTGAAGCAATAACTTGCTAATAAACAATTACTAATGTCCATAGTGCAAACGGAGAGAATAAAACTATAATTCATATTCTCTCCTGAAGGTATTCATAATATATAACCAACGAATGGTTTTATCAATAGTTTACACATGCTGATCCAACTTCAGAAGTTGGAAGAAAGAGTATGTCCATGGAAATTACCTGATTACATGCTACATATCTGAATTCAAAGTAACCCACGATCAACTTGCGTTCCCAATTCTATCTCAACCAAAATTCACCTTCCAAACACAAAAGTTCACGTCAATTCAAACTCATCATACTAAAAAAAACAGAGGAAAAAAAAACCAATTTCACATGAACAAATCAATTTAAGTCCGTGATGGAATATCATAATTACCACGAGATATGCTCGTAGTGATTACATCAAACTACCACATCATCTTTTGTGAATTCACCACACCTTTGGCCTGTGATGGATATTTTTATCGTACATAATTGAAAATATTTGGAGAAGGCGGGAGATTAAAAATTTGAAGGATTGCCAAAATTTTAGCATGGCGCCCAAAATCTCAATTCCCTATTTCCATTTTGTTATTAAAAAAAAAAATGAACTCCCTTTTATCAAATCTAGGGTGTGTTTGTTTGAGCTCGCTAGCTTTCGCTGGCTTGGACTAGATTATGTAGTAATCTAGTCCCATGTTTGTTGACAGTCCGGGACTAAGTTTAATGAGATTAGAAGGGACTCGCAGGGACTAACTACCTTGCTAGCAAACCCGTCGTGAACCATGGGATTAGCGAGGACTAACTCCCTCGCGTCTTCCGCTGCTTCTATGTTCACAAACGCCGAGAGCCATCATCATTCCCCTTCGCCAATTCCCCCTTCCCCTCTTCCTCTCTCCTCGCTTTCTTCTCTTTCTGCTCTGCCGAGATCCGAGCTCGGCTCGAACTTGGCCACCACGACGACAGTTGCTCCATCCTGATGGTACTGTAGTTCTGCTGCTGCGACGACGACTCAGTAGCAGTCGGCTTCTCCTGCATAGAAGATATTCTAAGCACGCTTGGGAATCGCTGTAGGCCGGTTCTCCGCTCCAAAGATTTGCGGCTCCGATTGAATCCACAGAATTGGAAAGCTCCCTCCAGTTGGAATCTTGCACCGAACAAAAACCAGAGAAACCAAGCTCGATTCTTCGTTTTGCAAAATTTTTTTGGCAATTAATCGGAAAAAAAAGAGGAAAGGGAAGGAGAGTGTGGGACGGAGAGAACGAGGGAGATAAAGAGGGAGAAAAGGATGGAGGCTTCCAGAGAGAGGGAGGATATTATTAGAATAAAAAAGATAGAATTAATTAATATAATATTATTAGATAGAATTAAAAAAAATAATATTGTAGTTTGTTATTATGCTTCTTTTTAGTTCGACACTGCACCAAACGCTTCATTAAGCTAGTCTAGCTTAGTCTAGTCTAAGCCAGTCTAGCTTAGTCCCTAAAGCTAATCCAATCCGATATAGTACGGTGCAACAAATGCACCCCTAAAGTTTTCTTAGTCTAGTATTAATCCAGACTATTCCAATTCACTTTCGTCTTTCTTCTACTCACTACTCTTGCATTGCACCGCCGTGACCCAAAAACCAAGAGTCCGCCGATCTCATCTCTCAGTCTCTTTCTCTCTCTAGCGCCACGACACTTGAATCCATGCCGACACAGTAACGGTCTCTCTCTCTCTCTCTGCGCACCCGACCCTACCACCTACTTCCAGTTTTTAATTCCATCATTGAAAACCCAAGAACCCTGGAGCCACCAAATCCACGGCTAAAAGCCCCCACATCTATGAGACTGCACGGTCGCTCAAAGCTTCAAGGTTATAACAATTCAATTTCTTATTAGTCTTTTTTAACTTTGCTTTTGGATTTACAGGTAATTACTTCCAAAATTAAGCAAGCTAGCAGCCTTTCACCCCCATAGCCATCCTCTGAGGCCTTTAATTAGGTAATTTTGGTTTTATTTTTCGGATTATATGTATTTGTCCATGGCTATTTTATTTTACGTAATTGTTGGGGATTATTCAAATGATTTATTTGCACATATGGAGGCTTTAATAAGTTGTTTTATTTGGTCTTTGTATTTCAGTTTTTTGTTTGTTATGAACTTGCAGGTTGATATTTTTTTCGGTGTTAATTGGTTTTCATGGTGATTGAAGGTAAAAAAATTTGAGTTGTTGATACCATTTATTGAAAAAGAAAGTTGTTTGATTTGGCTTTGAATTGCTGTGAAATTTGAACCATAATTCTTTTAAGTGCTCTGCATTTGAAATAATTGAAAATGGTCTCTTGTGCAAGCAGAATGATTTCCCCCATCATAGATGATTGTGTTGTTTGCAGGTTGGTCATGGTTTTTGATAAGGGTAATTCTCTTGTTTGTGTTTTTAAACCAAGATGTTGCTGGTATAGGTTTTATACTCTGCAAGTTTTTGGGTTGTTCTGCATTCAATATTTTCATCTTAATCTCACTTTATCAACATTTTTGTAGTGTGCATACCCGAGCCCAATTCCACCTTTATCAACATTATTCTGTAAGGTAAAAATCCCAAAGCTTGTTTCAATACGCTCAAGTATTTGGAATCTTAAGAAAGAACAATAATTTTCTATGATGAAAGGTTTTGGCAGTCGGTTTTCCTGATTTGTTGTTTTGGACAAGTAACGTATTCTCTGGGTTTTGCACAATAGTTTGAAGGAATAACTCTGGTGGCTCAAGTTTTGAAACTAATCGATCTGGAGACAGTTATTGTGTTTGAGTTCAATTTTATAAGCAGCTTCGAGAGACCTTATCTTGAAATAGGAAGAATTTTCAAGAGCATGCTTTTTTGCAGTTTTTCTTGAATTGGATTTAGAAACTGAAATTGAGGACATCATTTCTCTGTGATTCAGCTTACTAAGTATGTCCTCCATTGAAACTTGAAAGTTAGTTTAAGTAAAAATGATTTGGCTAACAATACAAGCAATGGGGTTCGGGTTTCCTTGCAGTTATTCAGCTGCCATTATACCTCTTAGCCTTCTTTGTTTCAAAACTGTCTCAACCTCAAGCTTGCCTGCAAGCTCCTGCTCACCAGGTATTAAGAGAAATTATAGAACTAATGAATGCGATAGTACGTGGAGTTGAGTTCATTCAAATGTAAGTTATGCCTGTTAAAGCTGAAACAGAATGAGTTTGGGATTTAACCCCGGGTAGTGCTTAGAGAGTTGATTTACCCCAAAAGCCCATAATGTCTCATTGTGTAGCAAATTGCTCCTGCCAATTTGTTTCTTCTGTGCATTCAAATTTGTGTATCGTTCATTTCCTGCATATCTTTCATTTAAAATTCAAAGGTTACTTATTGATTTTGACTTGTCACATAGTTTGGAAGGTCTTGAAATTAGTGTCCTTTGTAATATCAAATTTGTGAAGGTATCCCAGAGTTTACTTGAACAGTAAGATACTATTGTTGAAAGTGAGAACTAAATGGATGGACACCGACATCTGAAATTAGAGCTAAACTGAAAGAAACAGTGCCAACTAAGCAATATGATATCTGAAAGTAAATTCCATTTCTTATTCTTTTTCTTTCCTTTCACAACAGACTTTTCGATTCTTGTTTCATAGCGTACAATGTAACATGAATTACTTCTTGTTCATATCTATAAGGTACATTTATATAATTTGATAATTGTTACGGAGAGGTCATATCATTTGAGTATTTGAAATTGAGCTCAAGAAGACCTCCAACAGTTGTTGTAATTTGTAGGTAAAATAGGCATGTCTGAATTACAGTTACGTTGAAGAAAAACCTGCCTTTGATTTGGTTTAGTCCAATGCATTCTTTTGGATTTACTCAAATTAGTGGATTATCATTGAATCAATAGAACATACTTATCACCTCAACATTTTTAGTATTTTGGCCTTCTCCGTTGGATCAGTGTTGCCCGTCCTTTGTGGCTTTAATTATAAATGCTTGGAAAAGTTCACTCAAATGCATGGTCGGAACATTCTTGCTAATGGTCGGACATTCTGTTTGTTGACGGTCATCTGCATGTCCATACATTCAGTTGTCACTTATATTTACATCTATTATTTAGGAACATTATAACCATTTCACGTTTTCCTCTTTCTTTTCTAGATGGCTAACAAGGGTACGTGATCAAACTAAGAAGAGCAATTCTGGCCTTCCTGAAGGGAGTAGTTTCAAATGTCCAAGGCCAGCGTTAACTGATATGCATTGTTTGACATAAAAAGGAAACTGGCCTTCCTGAAGGGAGTAGTACCAAATGTCCAAGGCCAGCGTTAACTGATATGCATTGTTTGACATAAAAAGGAAACTGATATGCGATGCAGTAGCTTCGTTTGATTTTAGATGAAGTGCATGGAAGGTACGGTAACTTGTTTACCTTCATTACTTCCTGAGGCTACACTCTTAAATTGATCGGATTGATATATTCAATCATTTGATATGTTCAAATTGTAGAAAATGTCGACGCCGAAATATTTGGTCGATTCTGAAAAGCATAGGTGCTGAATTTCATAACTTGTAGGGAAGGGCACGATGTGATTTAATGGAGAATAAGATGAACAATGAACTTGATAGCGAAGCATTGATCGTCCAATCTTTCTAGCTGCCCTACAATAATAGCGCACTTGTTAGGTTACAACTCTGAACCTAGACGCTTACTCGTCTAGATTACATTCCTTAGCTATCGGCGTACAGTTTTATCACTGTAGAGTGAGAAGAGGTAGAGGTCAGTACTTTATTTGAAGTCCAAGTTTTGTAACTTCCGGTGACTGAGATATGTTTTTGTCTCACCATCCTCGCTCTCATCACCAAACCCCTGCACCTCACCTCCCCAGAAGATCAAAGATGAAGCTTACTTTGCTCAGCCTCTAAACTCACCACCATATGTGAATAAAATCCACCTCAAAACAAGAAGATTTCATGGTATGAACACCACGAGATTTCATAGTATGATACATTTCAATAGGCCCACAAATGGTAGAATTAAAAGGGATAAAATATTGTTTTATGTAATCTCCTTAAAATGAAATGTCATTTACCTTTATCTTCAATATACTTTGAATATAGTAAGTTATCAATTTTGATTTCGAGACCGAAAATGTCTTGTGATACTGTTTGGGGATTTGATAAGCTAATTCAAGTGATGTCTCTTTGTTGGGCCGAGGGACTAATTCAGTTGTTAGCGTATTGATATATTTCTTCTGAACGTTACAGTATGTCCCAAGTTAAAATCGCCCCTCAATTGCTAAAAAGTGCATATTATGAGTTGAAAGTAGAATATCATTGGATACTTAGTAGCCAATAATGCGTACTAACAAGTGGCTCAGTAGAAAAATGCGGACAGCAGCTCCCTTAAAGAAAATGACAGGAGATCCTGATTTTGCTACTTTGTAAGCTGTGAAGCTGTTTGAGCATGGTTATGGGTAGAGTGCAATTCCTAACTAGCCTCCTTTAAGCACGAAAGAAGTGGATAATCACGGCTTGCCAATTGTTCTCCTTTTTTGAAAGGAAGAAGAAAAAAAAAAAAAAAACAAAGCCACCGACATGTTACAAATGGGCAGAGTTGATCTGAGAAGGCCTCAAATTAGTCGTACTCACCATTATACTGTTTGACAAAAATTGGAAAAGCAGAAAAGCTAAAAGACACTGGTCGTAGTCAGAAAAGCTAAATTACATTTATGACATCCTGCATTGTTCATGGAAGTGGATCTTGTAAGCTTTGTATGTATATTCTCATCTCTAACTAGCACGAGATCTTTTGGGAGCTCACTGGTAAGTTCTCGTGTGAGTTTCCAGGAACAAAACCGTGAGGGCGTGATCGGGGCCTAAAGCGGATAATATCGTGTTACGGTGGAGTCGAGCTCGGGTTGTGGTGGACCTTGGGTCGGGATGTGCCAACATTGGTAGTAGTTAGGGTAGTCATTAATGAAAATAGACATCATCTGAGCTGGAAAGCCCGTGAGCGTGATATTTTTTTAGTGGATTCGGAACACGAGCTAACATAACAAGTGTCACAAAACAAAAGATTAATGAAATATATATTTGTCTCCACTTATATTGTAATATACAATGTATCCATTTGTGTTCTGAGTACATAGAAAAATCTTTCGTAAGAATGTTGCATAATTGTACGGTACCAATACCGTTTTCCAATCTCAATGGAGCTTCATGTCAAACTCTCAATTAATTAATAAGGCCTACGCCTCCTAAACAGCTCATCACTCATGCTATAAATAACAGGGCCTGTCGAACTGATAAAAAGCACCAAAACCAAATGGTACGTTTGGATTAAGCACTTTTGCACTGTTAGTATATCCAGTGGTAGCATAGAAGGGCTTAATTCTCAATGCAGATTCGTGTTGCTTTTCAAGGGGCTCTTCTGGGTCTCTGGTTCTGCTTCTTTGCTGTAAGCTTCTGCTATAGCAATGGAGAGACCATTGAGGTAACCGGTGAACAAGCTGCAGCCAAAGCTTTTTCAGGTAATATATATACTTATATAGTTTCCTTTTAAGAACCAAAGTATTTCAAGGAAACTCTAAATGACAACCATTTATTGAGTAGTTAAATTGTGTTGGATTTGCATGGTTTTTTGCAGCATTGATTTTTGCGAGAAGACCTAAGACTAAACAGCCTTAGTTGAACCTCCCTATACATGCATGCACATATAAACAAAACAATTTCAAAACTAATCTCAGTTTCGTTTTCCATTATATAAGACTCATATGTAGTCATAGATTAGTCTAATGTGTGATTAAGTAGTAGTTATTTGATAATCATTTTGTATATGTTCTTGGTTATTAGTTAATCATATATATATTTGTTTTTCTCCTCGTACGTAAATCTTTTGCATGTCTCTGTGTGTAAACTATGTCCATAATGAAGAGTTGCAAGGAGCAGAAGCTGCAGAAGTCCATGAAGTAGAGAAAATTGTACCTGGATATCAAGGCATTGATAATTCTCCCTGGGGTCCTCCATCGGTTCCGGTTGTGGAAGAAAAGCCATTTCTGAAGAAGCCAATTTTCCATCCACTTCCAAAATTCAAGAAGCCACTTCCGCCACCAATTCCAGTTTACAAGAAGCCACTTCCTCCACCAATTCCAGTTTACAAGAAGCCACTTCCTCCACCAGTCCCAGTTTACAAGAAGCCACTTCCTCCACTTCCAAAATTCAAGAAGCCACTTCCTCCACCAATTCCAGTATACAAGAAGCCACTTCCTCCACCAGTTCCAATTTACAAGAAGCCACTTCCTCCACCAATTCCAATTTACAAGAAGCCACTTCCTCCACCAATTCCAGTTTACAAGAAGCCACTTCCTCCACCAGTTCCAGTTTACAAGAAGCCGTTTCCGCCACATCCATTCTTCAAGAAGCCGATTCCAAAATTCAAGAAGCCATTTCCTCCACATCCATTCCTTGGGAAGCCGGTACCTCCCACTGTTCCCTAAACTAGACTAGCTAGTTTTCCTTCCAAATAAGAGATGAGTAGCATATAAATAGCTATAGAATAAAGTCCTACATGGAGAGAGAAATGAGGTTGTTGTAACTTTATTATCTTTAAATTGTGTGGTGTTGTTGTACTTGTATGATTCTGCTGTTATGCAGCTACCTTGTAATACGACCTTTGCATTTATAAATTACTGGAAAAAAAAAAAATTTCCTTCACTCCAAAGAATCAACTTCGGCCCTTCAAAATCCTTATGAATGAGATCATTAGCACATTGATATCGATAAATTTTCAGGCCCATCATGGTCCATAGCGTCTGGCTTAGTCACCTATATATTATAAAAGGCATCGGTGATATTATGTGGAATTCTATTCTCCAACAGATATTTCATGAACTAAACTTGAATATGGCAAATGAAAAGAACTAAAAACCTGCACAAATTTGCAAAGAACCATTATATATATCACCCAATTTTTAATAGTGAGAGTGTAGAATCCTATAATTCTGGAAGGCATATTCTTGTTGTGCAAGATTCATTGAGACGGGTCAACAACCTATACCATCCCAAAACTTGCATCTTAATTATTACGACATGTTGAGTTTTATTGCAAAAGACCTTGATATGATAAGGAAAGGAACTATTTATATTGTAATTTGTTTGATCAATTATTGTACTGTTCAACAATAAGAAATTCCGCTTCATGCTTATTAAAATTCTTTCTGCACTGCTCAAGCATTTGAGACACCTTTAAACACAGGCGCAAGCTTGAGTGTGTGGTGCAATGTATACAAAATAATCTAAATTATAATCTACTATTAAATTGGAATCCACCAAGAATTAAGAAAACCTCAAAATTTATAATCGAATAATAATACGAATGATTACAACCCGAGCACCCCACAGGTTGCTTATAGTGGACTTTCTAGGAGTACGAATAGGAAATGAATTAAACAAATAAAAGCTTAAATCCCGTTTTGTGTTAGTAATTTGATCAAAAATGCCCATACGTTAGGACAAAGCGCTTAGTGTTGTTTGCCTCACCGTTCAAAACGGTTGATCTTGAGGACAAATCAGATATTGGAGTCCAAATCTACAATGCTCGAGACTTGATGCTGATTTTATGCCTTTCCTACTGTTCTTCGATCTTTTTAGACATATTTTCATAACAATATTATTTTGTCTTGTTAGTTGTAAGATATTGTAAGGACAAGTTACCTTTTTTTTGCCTAATTTCTTTACCAGGGAAAAGATTAAATTGGAATACAATCAATTTTCAAATTAAATTTGTCAAGATTGGACCCCATAACATTATTATTTCTCAACTAAATGGTGTATAATAGCAATCATATGTCCCTTTACATTCCTCAACTGGCATTTATGCCACCGATTTTTCTGTTCCCAGACAAGCACATGTGACATGCCCTTAACCAAACTTTTGGGAGCAACACTTAGAAAGGTTAGAGTTATTAATGCAGTTCGACATTAATTAGTACTCTACTAGAGGCTTCACGGGGACCAAACTTCGAAATTGATCGTATAAGTCAAAAGTACAACTTTAATGTACTAAAATGACTCCTACTGACATTCTCATGCTCACCATTTAACCCAAAAAAAAAAGACATTCTTATGCTCACCTGTCAAACTACATACAAATATACGTTTCAAGGATGTGTATTTGCACATACGTTACACTACAATACGTTCTTTAACGGTAATGTATTCGTTGTTAAATGATATTTCTCGTTAAATTATCATTCTGCGGTAGCGGCAACAAGTTATGCATAAGTAATTTTCTCTATCTAGTTCTAGTAAAAAACTCATTCTTGTGTTTGAGAAAATGAATAAACGGTTATGTACAAAAAAAAAATTTTAAACTATGTTTCTAGGAATTTTATTTACAAATTAATTTATGAAAAAGAAAAGGCTTTGTAGCCAAAATGGTTCATGAGATTTGCATAATACATCACTTTGGTTCCTGAAATTGAAAATCAATAGAAATGGTCCATCATCCATTATTTTGGTATTTCCGTTAATTGTCCTGGAGCTCTTGATCGGAATTTTGGGCAATTTTCAAGGCTTCATAATTCAATCGTTTCTTAACCAAATTCAACCCATAATATATCAAAATGAAGATAGGAAAGTGTAGAACAAGATTATACCATTTGGAAGCCCAATGGTTGCCAGAAATGGCTGGAAAATAGCCTGAAAGGTCACCGATGCGCGGAAAAACTGGAAAACTCGTCGGAAACTAGATAAACTTTAAACGTTCATAACTTCTTCAATGCTCAACGAAATTGAGTGATTCAAAAACAAAAATCATACTTCTCAATGAGATGATGAATATAGTGGTATCTTTCTGCATGGCTAATTCGCCATGGTTTGGCCGGAAAACGGCTCGAAAGTGGCTAACTTGAGACCAAGACAGCCACTTTCGAGTCATTTTTCGGCCAAATCACAACGATGTAGCCATCAATAAAGGTTTCATGCTCTTCCTCTCGTCGAGAAGTATGCTTTTTTTTTTTTGAATCACTCAATTTCGTTGAGTATTGAAGAAGTTATGAATGTTTAAAGTTTACCCAATTTCCGGCAAGTTTTCCAGTTTTCCTGCTGACTAGTCATCTTTCAGGTTATTTTCTGGTCATCTCTAGCAACCATTGGGCTTCCAAATAGGTATAATCTTGTTTTACACTTTCCCATCTTCCTTTTGATATATTATGGATCAAATTTGGTTAAGAAAAAAATTAAGTTACGAAGCTTTGAAAATTGTCCAAACTTTCAGCTAAGAGCTCTGGGACACTTAACGGAGTTTTCAATGGAATGACCAAAATAATGGATGTTGGACAATCTCAGGACCATTTCTATTGATTTTCAATCTCAGAGACCAAAGTGATGTGTTATGCAAATCTCATGGACCTTTTTGGCTAAAAAGCCAAAAGAAAAATACTCCACCAAGTGAACCATCAGACAGAAGATGCGTCTAACAATACTAGCATGACTCGATCTACTAATACAAGACTATCTGAATAGTGAAAATTAAAACCCAATATCTTTTATTGCTTTTACTTGTGACTCAAGGTACATATTATTCAAGTGTAACAAATAATTTGATCGCATCATAAATGTTGCTGCTAAGCCTGCTACGCCACGGATGATTCGATGTTATCAGAAGTTCTGTATACCTTTACAACTAACAATCTGCAGACCAATCTGAACGCAGCTATATATATATATGTGTTTCTGTCCCTAGGCCTTGCTATATGTGCCAATGCCTTGCACTGCAAGACGTGGTGATGAAATATTGAAAAAGTATTTAGACCTGATTCTCCACATCGAAAAAAGATGAGTGCTTGAGTTTATAATGACGAAGAAGTAACTAAAGGCGGCGTGTGGCTTGACCCTGATTCCATGCAATTCGAAGGACGCAAACAAGGGGGGTAATAAGCAGTGCTAGCATTCTCATAGTTAAACTCCACCTGATTGCACTTCTCATCATGTTCATCAAATTCCTTGGCATTCTGAAAGGAAGTGCCAATTCAATTAAGTTCAAAATTTGGACAAGATCAAGCACCATAAAAAAGCAATCATCCGTAGTTACTACAACAAATGCACCCAAGGAAATGCTTACACGACTTTATTCAAAGCTAGTTAACAGATTGTTTCAAGGAACATGCTATAATGTTCAAGTGTTGCTTCCCTCACAATCCAGTAAATATACAAAAACAATTTTAGCAATATACCTGAATAGATAAAAGGTGGAATGCAGGAAGAAAACGCATCTTGCAGTACTCATTAATCATCAATGTCAGCACTAGAAGTGGAATTGTGGAAAAGGATGCCGCCAGCTTTGATTTCAGTCCAAAGAGACCAATCATAGTTATTTGCACAAGAATGATTGCAACGAGAATATAATGATTGATGTAAGGCCAATACTGTCCACATGTATCATAAAAAGTCTCATAAACATCTTCAATCTGCAACAGAACCGAAGTTTATAAAACATACAGTTGATATCAAAGTGCACAAAATGCTCATCTCTGGTGCAAAATAAATTTCAGCAATTGTCTTTAAAGATAGAGATACTAATTAGTAATTTATAACATGTTATAATTGAACACAAGTATCTAACTCCCGGGGCAGACCTCAACCTAAAGGCGCAAGATGGACTGGCTGTTTTGATGACCCATGTTCCGCTTCTCGCCTCAGATTCCAGAGAAAGTCTACTTTAAGGTTGATAGGTTATTGTTGGCCCATGCCCTAACAACTTAAACTTTTGCCACAGGTTGATTTCTACGAGCTGCAACAAATAACGCTTTCAGCAGTTACTAAATGAAAGTATTGAAAAGCTTGAAGCCAATGAATATTCTGGGATCTGAACTTTAAGTTGCATCTAAATGCAAAAATGTTTCTAAAATAATTACTTGACACCCTATATACGTATTATTCTCAACCGCTTTTTGAAAAAATGAAAATCTTGATCTCTATGCTTCTCCTTAATTTTGTTTAGCTTATGAATGTTAATTGGGAGAAGAAAGAACAAAAGCACAACAAAAGGGACCAAAAGAATGTGGAAGCCGTGAATTTACAAGAACAGACTTTCATAGGAACAATAACAATGACTTAAATAATAAATGCAAAGTTGCCAAAGTTAACCTGGTTTATATACACCGCATAGCCGAGCAGGAAGTAACCAATGAAAAATGGGAGCATAAGTGGTGCCACAACTGCATATACTGTACCAATCAGCACGGATAGCGAGACCACAGGAATGATTCTGAAGTAAGGTAATGAATAAAGATAAGGAGTCTTCTCTTTTCCACGGCCATATGTACAGGACCTTATAGCATCCCAGCAAAGTAGTCCTGGTTGGAGGATCTCCAAAGAAAATCAAGCTTTATTAACTAAATCAGTATTTTCAGAATTATTTAGAAACGATAAGTTGAAAACAATAAAGAAAAAGAAAGTATGCAACACAACAGAAAATTATCCAAGAGTCCACAACTATTTAAAACTTGTACAAGGAAAAGAAAAAAGCAAAATTGAAATAGCTTTGGAAGTTATGAAGAGCGTGGATTAAAACGAAACACAAACAGAATATTACAAAAGTATTAAGACCAACTCACTTGAGCGGAGACAGCTCTAGCAAGGTGACTGGGGATATCTTTCGGATGAGTAAAAGATTCGCCAATTTCATCTATTAAAGAGCCAGATAACAAGCT